AACTGGAAGGGGAGCAGGAGGCTGACCCAGAGCCAGAGGCCCAGTTGGAGTCTGAGCCCCAGGAGTTGAGTCCACGTAGTAAGGACAAAAAGAAGGAGAAGGTGGGCCAGGAGAGCGATCTTTCCACTCTAGCCTGGTTGGTCTGTACCATAAGCTGAGTTCACGTGTGGAGAGACTAGAGCCAAGCAGGGTAGGGGACCGAGGAGCAAAATGCCCCTTGACCCCAATAAAAAGGGTGTAAGGATGAATGCATGGCATCACCATCTATCGTCCTAGATAGATAGATTGCAGTGGCTTTCCAACTTCTTTTGGCCATGAAATCGTTTTTGAATGAAATCTTATATGGGAGCTCTGTGTATGAAACAGGTAACTGCAGAGCCATCCTAGTTGAAGTACCCATTTGGCTCTCTCCTGCATCCCCCGTTGCTTCCTGAGACATCTTTGTACTTCTCGGTCCCTTAAAAGGCCAGTTTGAAAACCACCGTGGTGTGTCTGTGTGAGTGAGAGAGGGTGCCCTGCCTGCTGCATTGGGCAAGTAGAGCTTACTGGAGTGACTGCTGTGACCTCATCTAAAATGGGCTTAGAGGAAGTTTCTTGGAAAAGGTGAGTCTGAGAAGGGGCCAGAAATAGCCCAAAAGGAGAAGCAGAAAGAGTTGAGGAACATGAAGACTCTAAGGAGGTTGTGCTAAAGTGACCCATCTTCCTGCCGGGAAGGGGTGCTGTGCTGTTGGTGGGACTGCCAAACGTCCTGGTTAGAAGTCTGCCTTTCTCCTTCTTGTGCACATCCTTGACTTAGCTGACTAACTTCTAGCTTATCCTGTCCCCTCTGGGGCTCTGGTGTCTAACCTGCTACCATGTCCAGGGAAGGAAATGGGAATTCAGGAGACAAATGTAAATGTATCACTCTCGGAGCCTCACATCCTTCCGGTGTGACTTCCACAGCCATTTGCACACCTCAACATTATTTGTCTGGGTTTGTGTACATTTTGACCAAAATTAATAGTATTATTAATTTGTTTTAAAAGACAAGAGGTAGGGGATGACACCTCTCTGCTTACCAATAATCATGAAAAAAACCTGTTACCCAAAAAGTAACAGTAGAGCAGAGGCTGGAAACAGAGCCATCAGGATACGTAGACTGCCTTTATTCCCATTCCCATCCCCAGGTTGTGATGTGTCCGCTGTTTTGTCCGCCTACCTGTTGTGAGGTTATGGTTCAGGCTCCTTTTTCCAAGCCTAAGTCCCTCCTCTTTCCCAAGCAGGTGAGGCAGGAGGGAGAATGCAAAGGGGAGGCAGCGGGCCGAGGCTTAGGTCGGGTTGGGAAATTCAGATCCTGGCTGTTGGCTCTTTCCCTCTCAGATGGCTTCAAATCCATCTTCCTCTCTATTTTCTCCTTTTCCAGAGATCCAAACCCATCTTGTGCCCATCCCTCTCTGCCCTGGTTGTCTACTTGAAGTCGGTCTCATTCCACAGCTTCACTCATTCGAGGGAGCACTACCGCTTCTATGAGACATCATCTTTCTCTGAAACCAAGGCCAAGAGCCTCATCAAGGAGGCTGGTCAGGACCAAAGGGAGGGCCAGGGAGGGAGCTGGGAGGGGTAGGTTCAGGCAACTGGCAGGCAGAAGAGTCCCAAGAAAGAGGGCAAAGGGGCCAAGGAGGGGTGAGGGAGCTAAGCAGTGCCTCAGAGCACGCACAGGGACAGGAGCTCCGAGGAGTGGGCTCAAGGCTCCAGGTGGAGGACAGCTGGGGAGATGGTCAGGATGGAACAGAGGTACGGTGCAGCTTTCTGGAGCTGGCCTCTGGAGATGCTGGGGCGAGAGTGAAGTGGGTAGGTGGGAAGTGGGAGAATCCACCCCACGGCCATCTCCCTACTATACCTTTTACAGGCAATGAGTTCGTGCAGCACAACGCCTGGCAGTTAAGCCGTGTGTATCCCAGTGGCCTGAGGACGGATTCGTCCAACTACAACCCCCAGGAACTCTGGAATGCAGGCTGCCAGATGGGTGAGGGGCAGCAGGGACAGGGAGGAGTGAGTCAAAGAGCAACAGGTGGGAAGTTACATGCCCCAGCACTACAGCCAGGGGCTGCTCAAAGTGTGCTAGGCTAAGGAAGCTGCAATCTATGGCGGTGTTCCCAGCAGGCCGTTATACCCAGTATGTGTCCTTACTTCCCCAAGAGGGCTAGATGGCTCCTGAAATGTATCGTTGCCTTCTTTTCTCCTGGGGTCCTCAGTGGCCATGAACGTGCAAACCGCGGGGCTGGAGATGGACATCTGTGATGGGCTCTTCCGCCAGAACGGTGGCTGCGGCTACGTGCTGAAGCCAGACTTTCTGCGCGATGCCCAGAGTTCCTTTCACCCTGAGAGGCCCGTCAGCCCTTTCAGAGCCCAGACCCTCCTCATCCAGGTACCGGGGAGAAACTGCGGGGAAGAACCCAGGGTGGCCAGGATAGAAGTCGAGGGAAGAGGAGGCTGGGCCAAGCAGAAATGTAATGAGCGGAGAACCCCTCACGAGGCGGGATAGCCTGACCGTGCAACAGCTTAGGTTTGGGAGCCAGCTGCCTAGGCTCAAACCCATTCACTAGCTGTGCAACTCTGGGCAAGTTGCTTAACCTCACGCTCCTCACCTGCAAAATGGGAGCAACGATACTGCCCACATCACCGGGGTGTGGGGATCTTGAGTCTAAAGTACCTACGACAATGTCCGGGGCAGAGTCAGTGCTGGAAAGGGCTCGCAGAACGTACCTGCTTTCAAACCTTGTTAAATTTCTACTCCGATGCATTTTGAATTGCAGATAGTTTACTAGAAGAGAATATATTACTCAAACCTCAAAGCTATAGCGCCAGGCCTTATGTACCCCCTCCTCCCCCTGGGGCGGGGGCAGGGGTGGGGGTAAGAGCGAGCTGGAGGGGGGCTGGGCTGAACAGGAGCTGGTGAGGTTCCAGAGTCCTGCTTGCAGGTGATCAGTGGGCAGCAACTCCCCAAGGAGGACATGTCTAAAGAGCGGTCCATTGTGGATCCACTGGTGAGAGTAGAGATCTTTGGCGTCCGCCCGGACACAACCCGGCAAGAGACCAGCTACGTGGAGAACAACGGTGAGGCTGCCCTCCCTGGAGCACAGTCTCTGTCCCCACCCCTGACCCGCCACCACGGGAGGCAGTGTGGAACAGGACAAAGGGTCAGGGCTTGGACGGCTTGGCTGTGGATCCGGGCCCCTTAGTTCCGAGCCCCAGTGACCTGGGCACGTTGCTTACCCACCCACCCTGGACCTCAGTTCCCTTACTTGTAAAATGCTGATCACTGTGAAAATCTTGAGAACACAAGGAAAGCTACCCAGGATGCGCCTAAAGCAGCCAACGGTGTCTCTCTCTTTGGTCCCACCCCAGGTTTTAATCCGTACTGGGGGCAGACACTATGCTTCCGGGTCCTGGTGCCTGAACTGGCCCTGCTGCGTTTCGTGGTCAAGGATTACAACTGGAAATCCCGAAATGATTTTATCGGGCAGTACACACTACCTTGGACCTGCATGCAGCAAGGTGGGCCAGTCCTTCATCCCCTGGCCGACACCCCAGCCCTGGCTGCCCGCCTAACGCTCTCCTCCCGCCCTCCTCCAGGCTACCGCCACATACACCTGCTCTCCAAGGACGGCACCAGCCTCCACCCAGCTTCCATCTTCGTGCATATCAACATCCGGGAAGGGCTGGAGGGGGATGAATGCTAAGGTGGGCACTTCGTGGGAAGGGTGGGGTGGGTGTGCTGGCTTGAGATAGTAAGAAAAACCCAGAAGGATGCTCCAGAAAGCAAACAAAGGTGGTAAAAACCAAGTTTGGGATTGCGCATTCCTGAGCACAATATGACCTCACCCTTAACAGGCAACTCTAGGACCTGATTTCTCTCTCTCTCTCTCTCTCTCTCCCCCCTTTCTTTGTTTTTGCAAGTCTGAGGTATCTTTTCTCCTTCCTCTGCATACTCGACACTGGACTTCCTTTCTTCCTCTTGCCATAGGCTCAATCCCATACCTAAATCTAGGACTAATCTCTCTCATCCTGGCTCAAAGGCTGGCTGCAGCTAGAGGCCCAAAGAAGGGCTTGGAGCAAGGAACATAGAGACATCATCCCCTCCACTGTGGCCTCCTCAAAGCCCAGAGCCAAGGGAAAGATAAATCGAGCCTCAAAGCTCCCCAGGCAAAGGCTGGGGAAGGAGACCTGACCCCAAGGCTATACTGTGACTCAAGAGAACAGCCCTGAGTCCCCACTGGACTGCTCTGCCCTGGCCCCACCTGTATATATATAACTTTTCTCCCCAGTTTGGCTGGAGTATGGTCTGTTATTGTTGGGCCAGAGGAGGAGGTATGAAGGTTGGGGGACATTTGGGGAGGGCAGGGAAAGGGCAGAAAAATAAGAGGTTTCCAGGGCCCCCCTGCATGTTATGTGCTACACAGAAGGGCTCAGAAGTATGGCTTCTAAGGGCAAAAGGAGGAGACAAAGGCTCATGTGATCCAAGCCCTCCCAAGTCTGCCTGAATAGTCCTGGTTTACGCCTACTGTCCTCACTATTAAAAGTATCTTCTTTCATTCTCCCGGTGTGTCCCAGTTTAAATGATTAATCACACAGTCCCTGTGAGGCACTCACAGAATCTTGGATTCGAGATTCTTCCTGGCTCCCCTCCCCCTCGAGTCCTCTGCCTCTCATGCTATCTGTACTTTAACTCTGGTGCAGCTCCTGAGCCAGGCTGAGGCCGGCGGCTGAATCAAAGCTGCTTCTAGGAGGAGGCTTAGTGGGTGGCAGTCCTCCCTCTATGAGTTGGCAAAGGGGCCCGAAGTAAGGAGCAGGGCCAGGGCCGAGACAGGCTCAAGGACAGAGGGCAGGCAGATCTGGGCCCACTTAGGAATCCCTCAGTGAAGACGGAAGGAGACGAAGGAGAGGCCGAGGCCTGAGAGGGAACAGGGCCAATGGAGAGGATAGCTGGAAACGTTAAGTCAGGGACGTGGACGCATCCGTAAGCTAGTCACCATTCTGTTTAACATGCTTTAGAGAGCATCGGGCACAATAGCACATGCAGTTAGATACAGTTGTTTGAGGGCGCTGGAAGAAAACAGGACTTGACAGAGCCAGAAGGAAGGAGAAGATAGCCGGGGTAAAACCAAGGTCTTAGAGCCAGGGACTCGGGGGGTGTGGTGCTGAAGGAATCGGGAACTCACGGGTTAAGAACACAGTGTGCCTCAACAGGAAATCACTCCGTGGTCCGTGTCACTCTTTTATATGGCCATCAACCTCCAAGTACTACAGCCCCAGTCCCTGGCGGCCTCGGCCACTCGGGCCGCTCACAGCCAGCCCTTCCTTAAGCTCCAAGCTCCAGGCTAGATCTGCTTCCAGTCTGCACGTCTTGGACCACACCCTCCAAGAGGTGGCGTCGGCTCTCAGCCCTCAGGTCCAGTGGGGGGGGCAGCAGGAGCAGGCGGGCTGGGGTCCTCCAGCTGCACATCATGCAGGTGCACCGTGGGGGTACTGGGGTCTTTGCCCACTCCTTGGTTCGGGTCAGCCTGGTCCGGGTGGTGCCGGCGCACATGCTTCACCACCTGGAACTTCTGCTTGGCCTTGTAGCTGCACAGGCGGCAGAAGAAGGGGTGGCGGTCGGTGTGGGTGAGGGCATGGTGGCGCAAGCCGGCGGCCCATCGGAAAGCGCGGTGGCACACATTGCACACGTAGGGTTTGGCCTCACTGTGCTTGCGGAGGTGGGTGCGCAGCAGGAAGCGTGTCTTGAAGGCCTTGCCACACTGCTCACACATGAAGGCCCGTGCCTCCCGATGCCGTGTCTCCTGGTGCACACGCAGCGCGTCGGCCCGGTTGGTACAGTACTCACACTCGGGACACTGGTATGGCTTCAGTCCTACAGGACAGGGCAGGGCCAAGGAACAAGTTACTGAAGGGGGTGGAGCAGCATTTAGTGGCTCTAGGAGTCCCTGTGATCCTGGGACATGACACACAAGTGGCAAGCTGACTCACGACCACACCTATAGAACATTCCAGCCTCGCCTGACATTTCTAGGACCTTCTCCCAACACAGCTCCTTGTATACAATGAGTGCTTAATGAATGCTGATAGCTCATGGGACCCCTGAGTAGCCACCTGATAGCAATGGATACTCACGCAAATAGACGGGGGTTTCCAAATGGAAAACTCTAACCCTCTTTTGACCATGGGGTATTCATGGAACTTAGGAATCCATTTAAGTAGAACTCTTTGTTCAACTCAAGAAGTCAAAGAAATGCTTAGGGGAGCATCTGGGTGGCTCAGTGGTTGATCCTTGGGGTCCTGGGATCGAGTCCCACATCAGACCCCCCGCAGGGAGCCTGCTTCTCCCTCTGCCTGTGTCTTTGTCTCTCTCTCTGTGTCTCATGAACAAATTCTTAAAAAAAAAATGCTTGAGAAGAAAGGAATAGAAGCAAGAGAAGTGGCATTCGCGGATGCAGAGTGCCTTGAAAGTCATGTGGTTATTTCCTTTACGTGAGGGGATCATATCCAAGAAGCCATATCCCTCTTCTGAGCACCTATACTTCACAGAGTCCATACCCAGAAGAAAAAAAAGAAGATAAAACTAGAGAACCTTTCACATTCTTGTTACTCCTAAAAGTTCCATCACGTCTGTAGGAACCAAATAACATCCCTCAATCACACGTTCATGCTGGGGGTTCTCGGCGGGAGTGCCACAACCACCAGGGAAACTTTTACAAAGTACGCATGCCCAGGCTCTCCGGTTCACCCCCCTTCTGATTCTGATAGGTCTTCAGTGGGTTGGGAAGCTACTCTGGCCATCGAGCCTCCCCTCTCCCTCCAGTGTGTGCCTGCATCTGAGTGAAGACATCCACCACTCGGGGGGGCTGCCTGTGCCAGGGAATATGGGGGACCCCTTGGCACTGTCGAAACCACAGAGACCCACCTGTGTGCTTGGTCATGTGGTACTTGAGTTGGTTGACCCACTTGCACTTGTAGCCACAGTCAGGGCACAGATACTTCCGTTCCTCCTTGTGGATCCGCATATGGTACTGAGGAGGGAAGAGCAGAGTATGCCCGGGAAATGTGCCCCCTTGTCCTCGGTGGATGCGCTCCCATCCTAGCCATACTCCCCCCACCAGGCAGGCTCCCCAGTCTGGCCACTTTGAACCCTAACCCACTGGGCCTACCTCTAGGTCTGCCCTACCTCAGCTCTGCCGCTCACTACCGGGGCCTTGGGGTGCCTAACCCCGAACTCTCAGTTTATTAGTCAGTATGGTAAGAAATAACAGAAATAACCATCCCTGTTTTGAAAGGATTCAAATTCCAGTGTTCGGCATCCAGTAAGTGCTCAATAAACGTTGGCTGTTACGATCTAGATTCCCCCTGAACCACCACTGCCTTTATGGCAGGCCAAGCACATATAATGGCATTTCATCTTTGCAACGACCCTATGAAGCGTCACCCCCCCGCCCCGCCCCTTCACAGGGGTGGAATCCGAGGCTTGGAGACGGTAAGGGGCCTGATGAGGATCCCAGACCTAACTGGGAGTCAGGACTGGAGAACCCAGGTAGTTTCCTCCATGGCCCGCCTGCCTTCCCTCGCCACCTCCCCCCGCACCCCCGCCGCGGCCCCTGACCTTACCTTGAGGCGGGAGGGGTCAGCGCAGGCATAGGGACAGAGGTGACAGCGGTAGGGCTTTTCGCCCGTGTGGATGCGGCTGTGCCAGGTGATCTTCTGCCGGTTTTTGGTGCTGTAGGCGCAGTCGGTACACTTGTAGAGCCGGGTGCCCCCGTGCCCCTTCACGTGGTGATCGAGCACCAGCTGGTGGCGGCACGCAAAGTCGCAGAAGGGGCAGTGCAGGGGGGGCTGGCTGGCATCCGTGCCGCCCTCCGAGGCCGCCGCCGCTGCCGCCTCCTCGTGCTGCTCCAGGTAGTGCTTGACCAGGCCTGCACGCTCCCGGGCGGCGAAGTCACACAGCTGGCAGCGGTGGCTGAAGTGCTGGCGCCTCCGGTGCTCGTCCAGCGCCGGGCGGCTGGGGAAGGCCTCCCGGCAGGCCCCGCACTCCAGGCGCGGATGCTGCTTCCGGGTGTGTCCCCGCAGGCTGGCCGGGCTGGGGCACAGCAGCCCGCAGCGGGAGCAGTGCAGGGGGCCCTCGGCGGCCTCGGCCGGGGAGCCGGGCGCCGGCGGCGCGGGCTCGGGATGCCGGCGCAGGGCGTGCTGCTTGAGGGCCGTCTCGGAGCTGAACTGGGCCTCGCACTGCGGGCAGGCAAAGGCAGGGGTGCCCCGGTGGCAACTGTTGACGTGGCGGGTGATGTCGTGGCGCAGGTAGCCGCTGTAGTCACAGAGCGGACAGAAATGGGTGGGGGTTTTGTCATGTACCCTGAGCCGGTGCAGGCGCAGCTTCGAGTTGGTGCCAAATGTTTGGGGACAGGAGCTGCAGGGGATGCGGCCGACACCCGTGTGTCGGGACTGATGTGCCTCCAGCCGGTACCGTCTGGTGGTGGAGAAGTCACAGAAGGGGCACTGGTGTGGCTTCACCCCCTCGTGCTTGAGGCGCCGGTGTTGCTGCAGGCAGCGGCTCTGTTTGCAGGTGAAGCCACAGTCCCCGCACTGAAGAGGGGGCCGGGGCCCGCGGGCCGCGGCGGCAGGAGGGTGCCTCCGCTTCTGGTGGAGTCTCAGGGCGGCGGCGGCCGGAGTGGTGAACGAGCAGAGGCTGCAGCGCAGCTCTCCAGACTCTTCGAGGGGGCAGCCCCGGGTCTGGTGGGTCCTCAGAGCCCGCTCCTGCTGGCAGCTAAAGGGACACGTGGGGCAGGAGAAGCGAGCCCCCTTCTGCTTCGGAACCGGGGTGGCGTCCCCGCTCCCAGGGCTGCACTCCTTTCCTCCACCATTTAGGGAGGCAGCATCCCCGTTGCTCAGGAGGGGTGCAGGCTGGCTCTGGGAGGCCCCTCGCTTCCCTCCCCCGCCCCGGCCGCCCCGGCAGCCTTCGGCCACGTGAGAGGTGATGGAGGAGAGCCGAGAGCAAAGGAACGTGCAGGAGTTGCAGTGGAACTTGCCCTGCTCGAAGTGGAACTTCTCAGGGGTCTCTGCAGCGGAGGCGTTTCCTGCAGGAGGGGCTGTGGGGACACACAGTGTGCCGGGGGTCTCCTCTACCTCTTCTGGCTCCTTAGCCAGCACAGCAGCAGCAGTTTTCGGGAGCGCCAGCTCTACTTCCACTGGTGCAGGCGGGGGCCTCCCGCTTTCTGCAGCTTCTGGGACCTGGGTGTCCGGGGGCAGGGGACGCGGAGGGATGGGTGAACCCGGTCTGGGCAAACCCTTGTTCTTTCTCAGCAGGACAGGGCACTTCTTCAGCAGGTGGGTGCTAAGGCCGCGCTGTTGCTTGAAGCTAGCCCCACACTCGGGGCACAGCAGGGGGTCCCGGCGGCCCTGGCACCCCGTCCTGGAGTGCACACTCAGGGCCTTCTCCCGGCGCGTAATAAAAGGGCAGTGAGGGCAGCGGAAGGCCCGCCCCTCACCCTGGATCACCACCATCTGAACGCGGCCCTCCAGGACCAGCGCCTCTGCTTGCTCTTTGTCCTGCCTCCGCAGGGCCTTGAGTAACGACTCTGACTCGGGGAACTGGGGAAGGGGAGCGGTCTCGGTGGGCATAGCCGCCTTGAAGGTTCCCACCCAGCCATCGGGGGGCTCCTCTGAGGAGGGGGAGTTTCTGGGGGTCTCAGGGACTGGCTTTTCCAGAACGGGCTCTTCTTTGGCACCCAAGCTGGAAGTCTCGGCGCCTTCGAAGGTAGACAGCTCTGTCAGAGTTCCATCTGGCCCTTCTAGTCTCAGCGGCTCTGAGGGATCCAGGGGCCTGAACGCCACAGGGTGGGTTTCGGCGATCTCAAGGGGCGGCTCGGCCACGGGCTCCAGCTCCACCCCCAGGGTCTCTAGGTGCAGTGTGCAGCCACCCTCCTCGACCTCCGTGGGACTGGGGCTGCCAACCAGGTCGTCCCCCTGCGGGCCCTCGCTGCCGTCCTGTCTCCCGGCGCTCTCCTCCTCACTGGTCTCCGGCAGGGCCTGGTCCAAGGGGGGCTCGGCCACAGTCTCGGGGTCGCAATCTGGTCCCTCAGGCCGGGCAGGCAGCTGGCTCGAGGGCTCGGAGTCCGGTGAGGGGGTCGGGCAGGGCCCGGCACCCTCCGGCTCCTGGCCGGCATAGCGGAGCTGCCACACCTGGTCCCCGGGCACGTAGCCGTGGGCCTTGCGCTTGTGGAAGAAGAGGGCGGTGTTGCTGAACGTGCGGTAGTCACAGAGGGCACAGCGGAACTCCCGGAGGCGGGTGTGCTTGCAGTTCTCATGGCTCAGCAGGGCCTGCTTGTGGCGGCTCTGGTAGCTGCAGTAGCGGCAGGGGTAGAGCGGGGCCGGCGTGCCGGGCCGGTGCTGGGAAGCCATGTGCTTCCGCAGCTCGTACTTGCGCTTGCAAGCGAAGGCGCACACCTCGCACATCAGGGACTTGCCCTGGTGGCGCAGCTTGTGGCTGCTCAGCTGATCCGCCCGGTGGCAGCGATAGGAGCACTGGTTGCACTGGTATCTGGTGGGGGGAGGGGGGATCGCCATTACATACATGTTCACAAACAGCCGGTAGGCCCTTTGCGCACGAGAGGCCCTACGCTCAGTAGGGTACACGTCACCTAGTTTACTCTTTGCCGCCACCCTGTGACACACGCATCTACTTACAAGCAAGGAGATTAAAGCACAGAAGTCAATAACCTGCTTCAGGTTACAAAGTGAAGGGCGGAGGCTTCAGGGCTCCTGTTCCAAGCCCTACTCTCTATGGCTCCCCAAAGGGAGGACGGCCCACTGTGGACTCCTAGGGAGCTGCCAGCTTCCTGTGCCGAGGCCCCATTCTCCCAGGGAGGCATGAAAGCTGTGCCACAGCTCAGAGGGCAGCTTGCCTGAATTGGGAACGTGGCTAGGACTGGGGTTGCACGTTGGGTCTCCCTACTTTCCCAGGCCTGAACTCTGTGAGAGCTTGAGGGATGCCTTCACCTCTAGGCCTGGACTCTGGGTCTGCACTCCCTCCAGAACCCAGGCAGCTCTCACCGCGCACACTGGGCCACAGGTGCAGAGGCCAACTACAGGCACCAGCACGGAGATGAGAGGAGCAGAGAGGGGGCATTGGGAGGATCACTCTGGGGCCAAGAGAGCAACTGGAGTTCAAGACGAGGCTGGCTGAGCGTGAGCTTCCTGGGACAGGGAGGGGGGCACGCACGTGCTCATACCTGAGGTCCCCTGCGTGCTTCCGCATGTGCACGCTGAGGTAGTGCTTCCACTTGGTGACATAGCCACACTCAGTGCACATGTAATCCTTGGTGTTGGAGTGCGTCAGCATGTGCTTGGACAGGTAGCTCACGTCTCGGCAAGTGAAGTCGCAGAGCTCACACTTGTGAGGCTTCTCACCTTATGTGCGAGTGGGGGTGGGAAGGAGAGGGGAAAAAACACAGGTCACGCACGGATGGAGTGAGCACACAGACCGTCTCCCCCGGCAAGCTTGCCCTGCTGCCAGGAGCCAGCAGAAGCTTCATGTGCTGCCCGAGGTGTGGCTGGCTCACAACAGTCGATGCTGCTTCCCAGCCCTCTCAGACAACTCCTCCCTGCCAACACGGAGAAAGCCGGAAGGAAAGGGAGGAGCGTGTTTTCCAAAGCCAGCTTGAAAATCTACCCTTGATCTGTTGTAGAGCTTGTTGGCACTGATGGCCAACTGCTCCACTTACCCTAATTCCCTCCAGTTTTGTGGAAGAGAAAAAATTGGGCCATATGACACAGTAGTTAAGAATTCGGACTCTGGGGCAGCCTGGGTGGCTCAGCGGTTTAGCGCCACCTTCAGCCCAGGGCCTGATCCTGGAGATCTGGGATCGAGTCCCACGTCGGGCTCCCTGCATGGAGCCTGCTTCTCCCTCTGCCTGTGTCTCTGCCTCTCTCTCTCCTCTCTGTGTATTCTCATGAATAAATAAATAAAATCTAAAAAAAAAAAAAGAATTTGGACTCTGGAGTCCAACATGGTAATAAAGATCTTAATAGCTAACATGTACAGAATGCTCATTCTGGGCCAGGCCCCCTGATGAGCACTTGATAAAAATGCCCCCTCTTCCCAACTCTTCCCCAACAGCCTTACCAGGTAGGTGCTAGGACTGCCCATTTTACAGAGAAACCATAGAGCTATGAGGTGTGATTCCAATCCCAGGTCACGACTACTGTGTGGCCTTGGGACAGGTCACATAACCCTTCCAAGTCTCAGTTTCCTTATCCCCAAAGAAGGGGCAACAAAAATTCTGACCACTCAGGGCTGGTGAGAAGACTAAACAAGATACCCCAAAGTCCTCAGTGGTGCCCAGTAAGACTCAGGGAAAAGCTATAAATGGAGTTGGACAAGAGCTGCCATGAAGAGGCGGGGGGCATGTTCCTTCAGGACCGTCCTGTGACCCCTGCCTGACACTCAGCCCATTTCCCTGTGGTGAAAGGCAAGCAAAAGGGTCTTCTAGCTCCAGTTCTAATACTAGCTGTGCGATCCTGAAACAGGCCGTTTAAATGTTTGGTTTCTCTCCTTTACCTGCCTTCCTTGCAAGACTGTTATTACGCATCAAATGAGGTAATAAATTTGAAAGAACTCATCCAACTATAGAGCACTGCAGAGATGGGAGACTGCAGGAAGGGCCTCAAAAAGTGAGGTTTGGTGGCTAAAGTATGCACAGAAATGAACTGCTTCATGGGAACAGTGACAGCTTTGCCCTAAGCTGCCAAAAATCTGTCCTCCCAAACTAGTCTTCAAAGAGATTTTTAAAAAAAATATCTGTCCAACCCACTGGTGTTTGCCTAGGGACCACAAATGGGATGATGCTGTAGCAGGAAGCCTGATTCGTTGTCACTCAGCGGTAATGCTGGCAACTAATTAAAAGAGTCTGAGTCAGTGCCAAGGCTACACTGTGCTTAGTCCCCTCACCCCGGCTCTCATAGCACATCTCAGAATTGAAATCACAAAGGAAGGTATCTCTTTCCTGGTCAAGGTTTCTTTACTTCTATAGGTTGGGGACCAACCCCTCTGTCTGCCTGACAGGAGACAGAATTGGAAACAGCCTTAAGGGTGAGGCTCAGGAGATGCCTGGATGGCTCAGCGGTTGAGCATCTGCCTTTGGCTCAGGTCGTGATCCTAGAATCCCAGGATCGAGTCCCTCTTTGGGCTCCCTCTGCCTGTGTCTCTGCCCCTTTCTGTGTCTCTCATGAATAAATAAATAAAATCTTTTTAAAAAAATTAAAAAGGGTGAGACTTAGGTGGGGCACCTGGATGGCTCAGTTGGTTCAGCATCTACCTTTGGCTCAGGTCATGATCCTGAGGTCCTGGGATGGAGCCCCCTGTCAGGCTCCCAACTCAGCAGGGTGCCTGCTTCTCCCTCTCCCCCTGCTTGTGCTCTCTCAAATAAATAAATAAATAAATAAATAAATAAATAAATAAATAAATAAATAAAATCTTTAAAAGGGGGGAAGGGGTGAGACACAGAGGCACAGTGGTTAGAGCACGGGCTTTGGATCAGACTGCCTGGATTCAAATCCCAGCTTAATCACTTTACTAGCTGAGTGACACTCAACTTAAGGCTTGTTTGTAAACTACGAATGGTAGATTTAGCTCTGGGGATACTGGGTCAAAGAAAACAACAGATGCAGAGCCCTTCCTGTGTCCTGCACACAGTAAAAGCTTGTTTGCCATCACCGGGTCGGTCCTGGTCACGGTCCTGGTCACGTCCACTCCTGCAAGCAGGGAAGGCGGCTCACCCGTGTGCAGCAGCATGTGGCGGATGAGCACCCTCTTGTGGGCAGTGGCAAAGTTGCACTCTGGGCACTGGTGGATCTTCTCGTGGGCGTGCATCTTGCCCACGTGGTCCTGGTAGGCCACAGGGTTGAAGGTGGCAAAGGGGCAGAAGGTGCAGCGCAGCTCCTCATTGCCCGGGTGGCCCTGCTTCTTGTGTTTGCGGAACAGGTGCTTATTGGAGCAGGCAAAGTCACAGTGCGGGCAGTGGAAGGCGTAGTGGCTTTTGTGGTGTGCCTCCATGGCTTCGGCCGTGGCGAAGAGCATGGGACAAGAGTGGTGGCGGCACTCCACGGCCCGCACGCCATGGGTCTCCTTCAGGTGCTTTACAAAGGCCTTGCGGTCAGGAGCCGCGTAGCTGCAGCCCTCCTGAAAGCAGCGAAGGGGCAAGGGCCCCGCTGCGGCTGCTGCCGTGTGGCTCTTGAGGTGCTCCTTCAGGGCCTGGCTGAGGCGGAACTCCTCACGGCAGACAGGACAGGCGTAGGTGTCCGAGTAGAAGTTGGAGATATCCTCGTGCATGCTGGCCATGTGGCGGTTGAGCGCATTCCTCTCCACTGCGCTGTAGTGGCACAGCGGGCAGCGGTGGGCCTTCTGGCCGAGCTCCCGCAGCAGATGGGTCTTGAGCTTGCTCTTGCTGGTGAAGAATTTCTGGCAGTTGGGGCACTGGAGGCTGGGATCTGGGAAGTGGAGATGGAGGTGCTCCACCAGGTGCGTCCGCTTCTTAAAGCAGCGCTTGCATTCTGAACACATGTGGGTCTTGAAGAGGGACTCGGTGCCAGAAGCCACATCCCCTGGGAGAAGGAAAGGTAGAGAAGGTTGACGGTGAAGTCTTGGATAGGCCAGGGGCTGGAAAGATAATGGGAGAACCACAATGTGCCTGGACACAGACATTATGTGGCCTTTCCCCTTTCTCTCCAGGAAACCTAATGATAGCATCTCAAATAGTGTAGTCTCAAAAGAGATAAGAAATTCAAGTATTTAAAAAGGCAAAATTGCAAGGCTTTTGCCACCCACTATTCCAAAGCCTTTGTCTAATGCTGCTCAAGAGAACAATCTGGATAAAACATTCTTGGTTCTTCCTGCCTTGTTCGTGGGGGTTGGCAGAGGAATCAGCAGGATTGGTTGAAAGGAAAAGAAACCCAGAGTGTGTAGAAGGGAAGAGAAGATGGTAAAGTATTCCTGCCTCCAAACACTGGCTCACGGAGTTCTAGGTCATCTTTTCTATTCATTTGACAGTAAACAGGCCCCCTGTGGGATGGATGGCTTTCAAATGTTGTTCCAACAAGTCGGAAAACAGGGAAGCAAGGATTCAGAAATAAAATCGTAGTGGGCACAATGCCAGATGAGACAGGCTGTCAATCAGTAACCTCTGGCATCTTTTTTTTTTTTTTTAAGATTTTATTTATTCATGAGAGACACAGAGAGAGAGGCAGAGACACAGGCAGAGGGAGAAGCAGGCTCCCCGTGGCGAGCCCAATGCGGGACTCGATCCCGGATCTCTGGGATCATGCCCTGAGCCAAAGGTAGATGCTCAACTGCTGAGCTACCCAGGCATCCCATCCTCTGGCATCTTTTATATGCCTATCACCCTCTCCTTCTCTGCAAAAGAGCTTTCTGCCTGAGGAAAACCAGCCCAGGAGAGCAAACTCAATTTACCCCTACTCTGTGTTTCCACGGTCTCTACCCATTTATCATTTTCCCACTAAACATTATCAAAGTGGAAGGTTAAGAATAAAAGGATATGAACCAAAGCCCAGAAAACCAAACCCTAGAGCCTCAATGCCAGACTCTCCACAATCCATTCCTCCCCACCACCGAGGTTCAAGTCCAACCATGTCCTTACCTTCTAACTGCTGAGCCCCCTGGCCTTTCTCCAGGGCTTTCTGGGAGTCCTTCAGGGCGCCACTCTCCTCTTCTTCTCCGTCCTCCTCATCTGCTGACTCCTGCCTAGGCAAGGCCGTATCTGCTTGTTCAGAAGCCTCTTCCTCTCTAGGGGGCAGTTTGGGAGCTGGAGACACATAAAACTCGATGATATCTCTAGGAGCCAACGACAGCAGTGAACGCTTGTACTGCTCCTCTTCCTGGCTGGCAGGATCACCCCTCCCCATTTAGCATGAGAGAATCTAGGATTCTAGGTCTATAGGTTTATTACCACTCAAGACAGGGACAGGAAGACCAGGAGCTAGGCTATCATTAATGCTCCAACCTAAAGCAGATCCAACCTCAGGTAACACCATCCTCAGATCCCTCGAAGGGAAGGGCTCTGAGATCACTGCAGTGGGGGCCAGGGGCTGTGACGTACGGAGGGGGTGGACTGCACTTCCCCAGCTCGGCTCCCCAGGGCTAAAGGCTGGTGGCTCAGTGCAGGCGAACACAGCCTGACCTCACAACTGCTCTACTGAGAAGCCTCAGTAATTCAGGGTCACACCCTGGCCCCTCCAATCCGTCCCTTCTATCCCTCCACAGAGATAGTTGCCTCAGTGAGGCAAAGACCTAGGACTATCTCCCAGGAAGGAGGGGTCTTCTCTTTGGGAACAGAGCACCAACCAGTCTTTGCAAGGCTAAGTCTCTTAGCAGAATCTGGCCTCCTCTGGCCTATTGCCTCCTGCTCCTCTTCACCCAGACCCTCTTTTTGGGATCGAGAGGAGTAAGAATCAATGAAGCGCCACCCTCCTTGAATGATTCTTTTCAAAATAACCCCAGTTCTCTGGCCCAATCCCACACACTCTAAAAGGAAGGCTATAGACTTTCTACCAGTGGCTGTACCTGCTAAGGAACCTTTTAGCTTTTGCCCTCAGAAAGTTCTGAAATGAATCAAAAAACAATAGCGGTCAAGTGACTTCAAGGCCACCGTGTTGCCAAAGTCAAATTTCACACTCTTTGTCTCATATGTTCTGACCAGCCCGAGGTTTCTAGATGCAGCCACTGCTCCAGATTCCCTTGTGTTCAGGCCTACGGCCCTGGAATCAACTGCCTCTCCCATGGGACTGCCCGTGGCTGCGTTCCCGGCAAGGTCCTTCCAGGCCTGGGCCTCCTACCTGGCAGCAGCTCCTGGGATGGAAGACCCCGATGGGCAGACAGCTCTCCCTGTGTCCTGGCCCCGTGGCTCCGCTGATGCTGCCGGAAGAGTTTGACGTTGGAGCCCATGAAGCTGCAGTGGTTGCAGTGGAAAGGGTAATGGGCCTGCCGGTGCAGCTCCATGCCCTGCTGGCTCCCGAAGAGCAGGGGGCAGCCCCGGAAAGAACATGGCACAGGAACCGCGGCGTGGGCCTGCCTCAGGTGGTGCTGCAGACCCTTGCGATCTTCCGCGGAAAACACACAGCCGGACTCCGGGCAGGAGAAGGTGTCTGGAGCACCCCGGTGGGTCTTGAAGTGGCTTTTCAGGGCCTGGGGTTGAGCAAACTCCTGTCTACACACCGGGCATGGCAGAGGGCTATCTGGTGGGCCCTGGCCCTGCGGAGGGCCAGAGAGAGTGAGGTTGCTGGGGGTGAGCTCTACAGAGCAGGGGGTGCCAGAGAGGCCCTGCACGGGCTGTATAAGGGTCTCAGTGCACTGGTGCAGGGCCAGCAGAGTGGGCTCTGCGAAGCTCTGCTCACAGCGCTCACAGAAGTACACCTCCACCACCTTTACCAGGACACCTGCAGGCAGAGGACCGACAGAGAAAGGCACAGAATCAGATGGAACGAGACTCATGGAGTTAGCTTCTAGGAGAAAATGTAAGTGAATCTTTTAATATTAGTGGAGCGGAGATGGACTTTAAGTCTTACGCCTGGACTGTAAGCCCCATAAGGTCAGGGACAGTCCACCGGCACACGTATTTGGATTCTCGGGATCTAGCACGGAATTTGCCGTAAGATGGGTATTTACTACACATTTGCTAAATAAATACAAGTGTTAACCAAATCCAGAAAGCGATAAGAAAAGGCAGCAAGTTTTGCCCAAATGAAAAGATTAGGAACTGACGAGAGAAGAAAATGACCATCTGGGGATAATATAGTATAAGTGACAAAGTGTTGCTTTCACATTCGGTAAGAAGATTTTTACAAAGGCACAGTAATCCACAAAATGGAGAACATTCATTTTCTAAAGACCCCAATCGTGTGCAGAGTAATCACTGCCATTTCTTAAGCAATGGGCAGGACCTTGATAAAGAAAAAGGCCTGGGAAACACTTGGTCCTCCAGCTGCCCTACACGAAGAGGGACCCAGAGTTCTGTGAGGTTTAGGCTGCTGTGCTTGCTCATGGTGAAGCCATGACTCAAGCTCAGGTTTGTGCCACATCTACTCTGGTGGTTTTTTTTTTTTTTTTTAATTATTTCTTTATCTAAGTGAAAATTCAGTACAACAGTTTAAATGACATGGATGTATCTACGAAAACAATAACCAACCTCACCCTCACAGACAATTTGGTCTTTATCCTTTTAGGCTTTTCTGAGTCACTTCTCTGCAAGTTGCTTCTGCTGCTGCTGCTTCTTTTTTTTTCCCCACTTGCTATATAGCCCAGATACTTATTTCTATGAGTACCTTTAGGTCTATCTTGTATTTTTTTGTCCAGTTGGTAGTACTTCCAAGCAGGAACAGGTCAAAACGAGGCATTGCCCTTACTGATGCATTTAGGTTATTTGCAACCATTATAAATGAAGCTGCTCTGGATATCATTACCCCTGTATCCTTGTGTGTGTTTGTGAGTCTTTCTAGAGGACAGAGCCCTGGAAATGGAATTACTGGGTCAGAGTACGCAGATTTTAAAATTTGTTAGGTTGATAATTTGACCTTCAAAAGATTATACTAATTTATGTCATCCATAAGCTATAAGACAGTACCTGTTTTCCCACCAACACTAGGTATTATAAAAAATGTTTAATTTTTACAAAGTTAAGAAACAATAATGGCATATCATATTTTTTTTTTTTACAGTTTATTTTTTTTTTAGTAATCTCTACATCTAACATGGGGCTTGAGCTCACGATCCTGACATCAAGAGTCACATGCTTTTCCAACTAAGCCAGCCAGGCACCCCTCATAATTATTTTTAACTAGTATTTATTTGTGTGTTAGTGAGATTAAGCATTCTTATGGTTATTGACTATGTTTACTTTCCCTTTAAAAAAAAACCCACTCTTTCTTTTTATTATGGAGCTCTTTGAATTTTAAAGAGATTAACCTCCTTATATATTGCAAATGTTTTTCCCATGTTTGTTCTTTCTTTATTATTTGCTTCACCACACAGAAGTTTAGAAACACTCTATGACCAAATTAGCTAATCTTTCCCAGGATTCGTTGTCACTATACTATGCTGCCAAGGGAAGTTGTGACAACTGTCGCCGGAGGATGGCAGTTAACAACCGGGAAGTCACCTAAAAATAAGAAGTTGTAGATATGGGAAGAATAAAGGGGAGAATTTTTTCTAGCATATATAAACGCTCAACTCCCACTCTTGACAACATGCCTTGGATGAGTTATGTATGTTATACACAAGAAACTAGGGCAAGGAAATACCAGACTACCTCTGGGAAGCCTTGCCAAGCCCAGGGTGGTAGAGACGCTGGGCCCTTTGCCTAATCCTTGGCTGCAGTTCCTGAGTGGGAGGGTCGATATGGGGGAGAGAATCCCTGAGGGGTATAGGAGTAAGGATTGGGTGGAGGTGTCAGAAAGGTCTTCCCTCCTGGACTACTGCCTAGCACACATGAAGTCCTCGCAGAGATAGACTGCCAAGAGCTTGGTACCAGGCTGTGAACCACCTTGCCAGCCTTCTATCAACATTCACCAACTGCAAATCAAATTACAACATCTCTAAGAATAAAAATAATATGCTCCCTTGTGTTCTCATCATATTTATATAGAAAGGTCAAAAATAGCCTAGACAAAACCTCAAGGCTAAGTGAAGTGTCCCAGTGGCCTGCTAGTGACTGTGTTTGTACCTGGGGTCTCTCCAGGAGCACCTGGGGACAGGTTTCCAGCTACTGCTTCCACAATGATTTCCATGTTCCCTGTGTCCTCTTCAGTTGCCGTGGCCTCTACCAGCAGGCAGCCTGGGTCAGCCGGCAAAGCTGTGGGGTTCCCAGCAGGACAGGGGCTCTGGACGGGCTCCAGGATTCCACGGTTAGAGAGAGATGGGGGAATCAGCAATAGCTCAGGGCACAGTCCATCCATCTCCCCAGTGCTGTTGGTTGGCTGTGAGTCCAACACGGGGTCTGTCATCGCCACTGGGTGTTCTGTGGTCTCTTATGTGCTGGTAAGCCAATGGAAGAGAACCCAAACAAAATATAGTTAGAAATCTCACTTTCATGGCACCTGGCCCAGTGGTTGAGCATCTGCCTTCTGCTCAGGTTATGATCCCAGAGTCCTGGGATCAAGTCCTGCATCAGGTTCCCTCCAGGGAGCCTGCTTCTCCCTCTGCCTATGTCTCTGCTGCTCTCAGGAATAAACAAACAAAATCTTAAAAAAAAAAAAAGAAAAAAGAAATCTCACTTTCTTCTCAGTTGCTGTGGGGGCTCCGCCCAGTACCGTCCACTTAGGCATTTCCTTGTATGGCAGCATGCCACACCTAGCTAGTCTAGAAGTTTTCTTTTTACAACAATGTTCAGAACAAAAAGTATACAGATGCCAGTAGGGATCAGTATTAGGAGAGAGACAACAGGTTTTAGCCAATATTTAAAGACTGAAGGTTATGTTTCTTGAAGCTAAGTGACCTTGGTGAAATCGTTAAGAAATCTGGGCCTCAGTTTTCTTATCTGCACCAAAACTGGGGCCAAGAGATCTCACATGTCCCTTCCCCTCTTAACATACTATGAGGTCACTATTCCTTAGTGCGGGTATAAGGCCTTTCCTTGAGGATCTGGCCCTGCCGACCTCTCCAGGCTCATCTTCTACCTTGCCCCTCAACACCTTGATCCAGTCGTTCCAGTGAGTTGCCATTCCACAGGCTCACCACATTCTCCTTTGCTCCCATACCGTCACACATGCCTGCCGTGCCCCGTGCCCCCCGTTTGATAGACCTTTCCCCTTCTCCATTCTCTCAACTCCTGTCCTTTAAGAATCTGCACAGATGTCACTTCTGCTATGAAGGCTTCTTGACACCGTTCACCCCTGTCTCTGGGGTCCTAACGGCACCTTGCACCTAGCTCTATCAGCAAGTCTCCCACGGCACCACCTCCCACCTGGAGCTTCCTGAGAGCAATCTACTGACATTATCACTTCACTGAACACAAACCACAACAATCTACACAAGTCAGACAAATGAGATTCTAGTGAAGAACTGCAGACATAGAAATGCATCAGAGGAAAGGTAGCTTTCCAGAGAGATAACAAACCAGCGCTTCCTTCCGTATAAAGTAACACGCCTGGGGAAATTTCAGACTCATGGACTACAGCTTCATACTGAAAACACTAGAGCGGAACCCGAGAAATGAATGGCATCTAAACTGCATATCCTGTCACACGTGCCTAAAATTAGCTGAAGCCAAATAATCAGTAATGTATGAGAACGGCCTTAGTGGCTTCATGAAATTGAGTCACGTGGGTCAAATAAGGGCTTGGGGCTAGGAAATCAGGTTGCAGGTGAGAATCCTGCAACTCTAAATCTCGGGTCAGGGGACTCAGAAGGGAGCTGGGAAGTGCACTTCCACAGTCAGAGGATTCTCCAGAAACCACAGCCTGCACTTATTGAATATTTTCGCTGCTCTGCGGGGAGCCACGGAGGACAAGGCGCCGTGTAGATGGGAGAACCTGAACCTCCAGCCGCTGGAAGGCAGGTGAGGTGGGAGACCGGTCGTACGAGGTGAAATGCGCGTACCTTGGGGCGGAGGCATTGAGGAAGAGAAAGGACATATTAAGGGACAGAGAAGGCCTGGGGAAAGAATGAGACCCGGCCTGGGGACGGAGGCACCCAGTTCCCACCTGCCTTTGGGCTCTGACTCACCGCGTGGCCTCAGAGACAGTCACCTCGCTTCCAGGGCCTCGGCTTTCCTATCTGTAAAGTGGAGGTGATGACAGCGTCCGCATCGTTGGGCGGGAGCGAGGGTCACAAGAGCCAGCAAGTGGGAAGGCCGTTTTGTAACCTGCGAAGCTTGGGATGGAGCATCGTCACCATTACGGTCCTGAGGAGAGGCAGCGGGTAACCGGGCGGGGTCCGGAGCGGTGACGCGGCCGGGGCACCGGGACCGCTGCTGCGCCGCGCCGGGGCCCCGATCGTCGGCGTGCTCCCTTCAGCGCCTCCTCCCGAGGGGTCCCGCCGCCCAGGCCCACGCTCATCCTGGGGCTCGAGAAACTTTTGCCTCCGGCCCGCTCCACACGCACCCCGTACTACTTCCCGCCCGGCAGCCGCTCACTCACCTCCCGGCCCAGGGCGGGCGGGAGCTGCGTCTCTATGGTCCGCCAGCTGCAGGAGCGGCCTCCGGGGACTCCCTTTGTGCGACCGCCTCCGGCCCAGCCGCCTCTAGGGCTTGGGGGCCAATGGAGGCCGCTCTGTCTCCCCCTCGTCGGCTGGAGGGGTACTCTATGGTTCCCTCCGGCCTTTCCCCTCGCCCCTCCGCCCGCCGAGAAGCCCAGGGAGTACCATCGAGAGCGGCGGGGCAGAGTGGCACGGCCCGCCGGGTGGGTGTGGCGGGAAGTAGGTGAGGAGCGCGGGGGCGGGGCCGAGAGCGCTTCCCCGGAGCGCGCGGGCCGAGACCATCGAGAGGGAGGGCCAGAGAGTCATGGCGGTAAGGGGGCGGGGTGACGGCTTGCTGCGAGCCACGCCGCCCGAGGCGCGAGCTGGGCTGTCGAGGGGGTCGGGAGGGTCGGGTGGGGGCAGGGCTCCGTCCGCGGCCTTCCGTGCGTGGGTATTTGGGCATTCTGGATTCTACTCTGAGCCCCGGCGGTGGTCCCGGCTGTCAGTGCGCCGCCCGGCGCGCCCCGCGCGTCCCGCGCGGAGCGGAGCGGCCGAGGGGCCGGGGAGCTGTGCTAGAAACGACGCGGCCTCCTGCCCCTCGGGATCCTGCGGTCTAGAATTAGACTCGGTCACGTTTTATTGGGGGTGGCGGATTCGGGGGGAAATCTCCATGGAGAAAGCAGCAAGTGGACAGGTCTTCAACTGGAGAGGGAAGGAATCCATTCGAATGGGCGGTTCCGAGCAGAGCGACCTGCTGGAGCAGAGAAGGTTGTTGGCGTGTTTGTACGACGCGACGCGTTAGGCGCTAACCCGAGTGGCGGAGGGTATTGAGTACTACCAGGCAGAGGACTCCTTACCTAATTCAGGGACCTGTTGAGAGCCAGCCATCGGAGCTGTTGCAGTAGGGAGAGTAGTAGGATTGAAGCGGACTTTATCAAGAAAGATCTGGACCCCTGTGGAGCAATTTGAAGCAGTAGGCAGGGAGACCCATTAAGATGACATTTCAGGAAGTAAAATTAATTTGAAAGAGACAGTTTAGTTGGGAGGTGATAAAGGGCTAAACAGGACATGAGCAATTGAGCACGTGAAGGACAGGGTATTTGAAGGACGTTTCTCATGAAGTTACAGGTCAGCGGAAGAGAGTAGCTTCTTCATCCCCGGTTAACTCTGGCCAGGGGGCCCCTTTCTATCTCAGCTAGTCCCAGAGGCCACAAAAATTCAGTTCATTATGCTGATGAGAAGTTGGTTACGTTGCCCTCTCATGTTTAAACAATCTTCAGATCCAGTCCTCTGGCAGAAAATGAGATGAACGGGATAATGAAGAGCAAAATGGAAAGAGGGGCCTGGAGTTTCAGCTCTTGCATTCCAACACCTTGTCGTCCCCACCGATGTTGAAACACACAGTAGCACTGACCTGTCCTTCCTGCACCTGGCTTCTGAGGCGGGGAGGGAGCAAGGGTGAGGAGGGATTGTGGAGTCCAGTATCTAAACTAATCTTGTGCTTTGTCCTGTCTCCACTGCTCCCCATCCTCAGGTTTTGAAAATGCCTCAGAGCCTATAAGGTTCAGTGTTTCCTTGTCAAGATGCCCCTCTCAGACTTTATTCTGGCCCTGAAGGACAATCCCTACTTTGGGGCTGGATTCGGGCTTGTGGGTGTGGGCACAGCCCTGGCCCTGGCCCGGAAGGGTGCCCAACTGGGCCTGGTGGCATTCCGGCGTCATTACATGATCACACTGGAAGTCCCTGCTCGAGACCGAAGCTATGCCTGGTTGCTTAGCTGGCTCACCCGCCACAGTACCCGTACTCAGCACCTCAGTGTTGAGACTTCGTACCTTCAGCATGAGAGTGGGCGCATCTCCACTAAGTTCGAATTTGTCCCCAGCCCTGGAAACCACTTTATCTGGTAAGATTGGAAATCAGGGAGGGCCAAGAAAGTAGAAAGGGAGAACGAGGGGAGCTTGATTTGACTCATCCTTTCACCCGGCTTTGACCATTTTTATTCAGGTATCAGGGGAAATGGATCCGAGTGGAACGAAGTCGAGAGATGCAGATGATAGACCTGCAGACGGGAACCCCTTGGGAATCTGTCACCTTCACAGCTCTGGGCACTGACCGAAAGGTCTTCTTCAACATCCTGGAGGAAGGTGTGGGATAGCACAGGCTGGCTTTACATGAGGGTTGTAAGGACAGGGGCGCTTGACATTGGAGGAAGGGAAGCTTGGACAGGGCAAAATGAGCCCAGGGGACCAATTGGAAAGCTGTTTTGGCACAGCTCTGCCTAATTGCACGGTAAAGAGCAATTATTGGCTTTGTCTCATCTTCCTCGTCCTAGCTCGAGAGCTGGCCTTGCAGCAGGAGGAAGGGAAGACAGTGATGTACACAGCCATGGGCTCTGAATGGCGCCCTTTTGGTTATCCACGCCGCCGCCGGCCACTGACTTCTGTGGTTCTAGGACAGGGTCTGGCTGACCGAATTGTTAGAGATGTCCGGGAATTCATCGATAACCCCAAGTGGTACACTGACAGAGGTGAGAAGCGCCTGGGGTCTTGGCCAGACTGTTTTTGATATGGTGTCAAACAGCCTGGGTCTGTGGCCAGACCAGGTGAATGAGTATAAAGCTCGAGCCCAATTCTCAGAAAAGTTGCCCTAGCATTGATTTCTTCCTATTCCAAGGTCATCAAGCCACCAGGGGGCAGGGTTGGGAATGAATGTGGACTTCTGGGGTGGAGTACTTGAATCCGTTGAATCCGTTTTAGGTCTTTGATGATCATCTTGGCTGTATTCCTAGGCATTCCCTACAGACGTGGCTACCTGCTTTATGGGCCTCCTGGTTGTGGAAAAAGCAGTTTTATGTGAGTAGGGTCACATATTCTCTTAATCTGTAAACTGGAGGAAAAAATAGGGCTGTGGGGTTGCAAAAGGAATTGAATTGTGGGGACCAGGGAACAGGATAAACATTGGGACAGAAGCATTTGGGTAACAACTAGGTCTCTGAGAGCCACTGGATTGGTGAGGACAAGTATTTGGGTCCAAGGACAGATTCCCAGGTTGCCCACCACCTGTCCTCCCATCCTCCATAGCACAGCCCTGGCTGGGGAACTGGAGCACAGCATCTGCCTGCTGAGTCTCACAGACTCCAGCCTCTCCGATGACCGGCTCAACCACCTGCTGAGCGTGGCCCCACAGCAGAGCCTGGTGCTCCTGGAGGACGTTGATGCAGCCTTTCTTAGCCGAGACCTGGCTGCAGAGAGTAAGTGAAGGGAAGGGGAAGCATTTCTAGATGAGGGTCAGTGAGGTAGAGGAGTGAGGAGCAGTGGAAGGAAGTGGAAATCCCAAGGGCTGACGGAGGATGCCTCGGTTGGCAACACAAGAGGCACACTGCTAAGTTGGAGAATGTGGTGGGGAGTTGAGAGCTTAAGCAGGGTCATGACCAGCTGCAATTCTTTATCTCCGCCTTCCTCTAGACCCAGTCAAGTACCAAGGTCTAGGTCGCCTCACCTTCAGCGGACTGCTCAACGCCTTGGATGGTGTGGCATCCACTGAGGCACGCATCGTGTTTATGACCACCAACCACGTTGACAGGTAAGAAGGGGTGAGGCCCTCTGAAGCTGAGGTGAGACTCCACCCCTGCAGGCCCATGGGTTGAGAGGGACCGACATTTCTGGGGGGTACTGGTATCTGTTGACTCTACCTTTGCCGCCTTGTGCTCTTAGGCTGGACCCTGCCCTGATACGCCCCGGACGAGTAGACATGAAGGAGTACGTGGGCTACTGCTCACACTGGCAGCTGACCCAGATGTTCCAGAGGTTCTATCCAGGGCAAGCACCTTCCTTGGCTGAGGCCTTTGCAGGACGTGTCCTTCAAGTCACAACGCAGATCAGTCCTGCCCAGGTACAGGGCTACTTCATGCTGTATAAAAACGACCCTGCAGGGGCCATTCACAATGCTGAGTCTCTGAGGACATGACGGGCAAGCTGTGCTCAGCGCTTCTCCTCTAGATCAATAAACACCTGCCACACCACTCTGCTCTCTGGCCTCCCTCCCTGCCTCCCTGTATTGGTACTTAGGTCAAAGGCAGGGGCCCTCAGGCATCCACAGAGGCCAGTGCCGGGGGCATAAGCTAAGGCAAAGCTGGAAGAGACACCATGGTAATCAGGGAAGTACAGTCTTCAATCTAAAGGCATTCGGTTTTAAAAAAATGTATATACATAAAAATGTGGACATATACACGGTGGGTGTGTGCACATCGTATTCCTGCATGTTCTGCTTAGATGTTGGCATCTACTAGTTTTCCTGAAACCCACCACACTGGCTGGGGTGTCAGGCCTATCTTTATTCAGAACTTGATCTCTTGGGAAAATGGACTTCAGGGCAAAGTTGGAGCTAGTCTCCCACACTCAGGTCTTGCTATACTGCACAGGCTAGGCGCTACTAAGCAAAGAAAGCCAAACAAGGCCAAATCTCTTTATTGCCCCTCCCTGCCCCCCCCAAATCCCTGCCCCCCACAGTACTGCTAGGAACCGTCCTCAGACTCCATGCTCAGGGGCTCCCTCCGAGTACCAGGACGATAGGCTCCCCGACCCCGAGGCAGGCGGGGGTAGGAAGAACCCGTTGTCCGACCCTTGGAGCGCTCCCAGCGAGCACAGTCCCGAGTCCTGCGGGGTGGGGGACCCTGCCAGTTGCCAGGCCCCTTCTCTTGGGGAGGACCTTCAACCCCTTGGCTACAGGGTTCTGGCTTTAGGTCCATGGGCTCCTTGAGGGGCCCCTCAGGAGGTGGCAGTTCCTGGGTGTCACTGGTACCTTTGTGGGCATGGCACTCCCCTCCCTTTAGGTGCCTCCGTTCAGGCTGTTTCCAGGGGCCTCGACTGGCCCGGGGGGGATCTATCATAGCTTTCTGGGTCTCGCCCAACCTTTGCTGATTTGGCCCAGCCCCTGGAATCTTCTCACACGTGTACTGGGAGGCCACAGGCAGAGGAGCTGACAGGTTGGGCTGGGCAGTTGATGAGGTGGACAGTTCTGAGGCAAGGGCACTGGGTGGCTGGGATCCTCTGGAGGCATCTACAGCCGACTCTGGCTCCACAGGGGCAGGAGGCTAGAAAGAAATGAGCAGATGCAGTGAGGGAGGTGTAGTTTCCCAAAGCAGGGAGCTGTAGGCCCCTTGCTCACAGCTGAGGCTGACTGCCATCAGCCTCTAACCTTAAGGGTAGAACAGAGCTCACCCTAGGGCCATGGCAGAGGGGCGCTGCTGCGAAGGTAGGGGGCAGTAAGGGAGGTGTGAGGAAGGCTCCCCTCACCTGCTGGAGACTAATGAAGTACCGGTTACGCTCAGCCTCAAGGTCAATGATGCCTCCCCGCTCCTGCTGCCTCTGGTAGAGCCGCTTGCGCTCTTCTTGTTGGCGCAGGCTCTCTGCGCTGGGCTGGTATAGCTCCTGGAAGGCAGTGAGCAGAGTGAGAGTAGGGAAAAAAAAATAGCAGAAGGCAGACTCGAATCCCTGCTCTTTCAGGACTGCCTCAGATCTGCATGGGGTTCTTGGGTTTGCCTCTCAGATCTGGGCTCTCAAAGCCTCAGCCTAGTTGGGGCTGTAGCTCTGCAGGGTCCCAGGCAGGTCAAGCCCAATTCTGGAGGTCCCATTTGAGGAAGACAAGATGCCATCCCTCCCTCCTTGGAGGATGCCATTATTTCTGGCTCAGATGACAAGGGAATTTCCTTACCATGGGCTGTTGGGGTTCAGGGGCTGCTTTCAGTGAGGCAAGATCATATACAAGGGGCTCTCTGCACACCGGACACTGCACACCGACTGCCTTCTAAAAATAGAGGAGAAATCACAGCCCTGCTTCACGGCCCATAGTGCTTGCTTGCCAGCTGCCCAACCCAGTCAGCCAGGCTAATCTGAACAGGGCAGGGATGAAGGGCACAGGCACACTGAGGCAGGATAGGGCAGGGGTTGCCTCCCCAGATAGAGGTCTGGGAACTCTGAAACTACATGCAGCATGTATACATGTATATAAGAACACCCTTTTTTCTGGACAGAGGTGAGCTTTCAAATTTCAAAGGGATCTGTGATGCCAAAAAGGCGAAGAGCCCCTGGAGCCGAGGGACAGAAAGGGGTGTGAGGGGGTCAGGTGAGAGCAGGGGCTGGCAAGCTGACCTGCTTGGTTGCGGCATGCTGCCGTTCCTGCTCCTGCTCCTGGCCTTGAGCCTGTAGCTCACGCTCCATGTGCTGGATGTACCGAGCAAGGCAGTGGCAGTGGAAGTAGTGGTAACAGGGTGTTTTGGTAAAGGCCTCCTTCTCCTGAAGGGAGGAGACACAGGGCATGGCGCCGGAGCTCTCATGAGTCCTCCACTGCCAGCCCAAGCAGACGCCAGGTCCCAAGGGAGAAACCCACCTGGAAATCATAGAGGCAGATGACGCACTGGCCATGGGGGATATTATTGTCTGTGAGAATTTCCTTCCCTTTCTGAGAGGAGAGAAGACATTTCAAACAGGGAGGCAGGGGCAAGAACTGGGAACACAGCCAGGGTTCTACTATTCCCAGGGGTGAATGCGGGAATGTCTCCTACTAAGCTAGCATGTTACTTTGTGTTCATGCATTCCTGTCTCGGGGAGGTGTCCTCCCGCTGGAATCAGTCCTCCGCGTCCCTGCCCCTCCTGCCACATCAACCCAGCCGCACAATCCAATTTTGCTGTTTTTCCACTTCATAAATCACCTTTAGTACACCTCGGGGATGAAAATAATATGCCTCAAGAGAACAGAATGTTCAATTGAAACTCTTATCTTCTGGGAGGTCTTCTTTGGTTAACCCCCTCTGATTATCACTCCAAGAGGTCTGTTCTTGGAGTCAGCTTCCAGAAAAAGTTGAGGCATGGACAACCCAAATGAACAGAGAACTCAAGGGCATCAAGTTGGGCTGCAAACAAACTCATTTGCACTGTTGTTTGAATAGCTAATAATCTGGAATTCCACAAAGCTCAAAGTGGCATTGTGGAGGTCGGGCTCAGGAGTGCTACAGTGGTCTAAGCCACTCGGACTCCAAGCCGCCCACCTTCATTCTTTTCTGAACATTTTTCTTCAAAAGTCAAAGTTTTGAAGTTTTGAAACAAGACTGTACTTAATTGTGTTTTTAATCTCAAGCAACAGAAGTTGTCTGTGTATGTGAACTTGTAGCTTTAGGTGTTCTCTGTGGGTTGTTAACTTCATTAGGGGAGAAACTGAGTAAAAGAACCATGGCAGACTAGCCTTCAAATTTTCATTTGTGGTGAGACTCTCTAGGCAAGGTCTCTATCTCTTGCTACTTTCGGTTGCCAGTGCCCAGAGAATGCCTTGAAGCAGAATCAAGAAAAATTCAAGTTAAAAAGGCAAAGTCATTTTTAGGATACTAGCATAGGCCACTTGGGGAAGCTAGAGAACTCTCTTTTGGGGCGGGTGGCAGGATTCTTGGTAACAGAAGAAAATTTTATCTTTCTGGATTTAGGCCTCACCTAAACAAGTAGTAAATGAATGACTCCAGATATACGTAAGATCCTAGGCCCATTACCTCCCCTAAGAGAAACAGCTCTAGGAGTTTCCCGAGCTAGCACACCTCTTACCTCGATGAGTTCATAGAGCATAGCAGTACCCAGTCCAGCATTGGCCACGTGGCTTAGTGCCTGTGAAATCCTGGAAAAGGGCAAAGCAAACATTAGGCCTGCTCCCTCCCCTCACCAGACTGAGCTGCAGCCCATTTTCCCTGCCATGACCACCCCAACTTACTTGTGGATCTGTTCATCTGAGAGTCCTCGGGGGTTACGGATAGAGATCTGTGGCACCTCATTGGGGTACTAGTGGGAGGAAATAATGTTACTGCTAAAGCACTCCACCCCAGAGCCTTTCTCCTTTCTCCCTTTGCTGCCACAAGACAGGGGCCTCACCTGTGTTGGGACCTGAAGTACCAGGGTGAAGCACACATACTGTGAATTCTGGTCTTCTGCAGTGGCAGGGTGCAGGGTGATGTAGATCTCCCATGGTGAGGATCTGTAGGTGGATGAAGCGGGGACCTGGGATGTGACTGGGCAGGAGTTTGAGGACCAGGAAAGATGGGAGTGAAACAGTAAAGCTGATGGAGGAAGTGAGCAGTGGGCTCTTTCTTTTGGGGGAGATTAAAGGAGTATGTTTGTCTCCATGAGAACATCTTCTCTGAATCAAGGCTCATGGATTCTGCATGAAATCTGCTCATTACTAAGGGGACTCCTGCCCACCTTCAGTTGAATACGTACCTGCCATTTCCTTTAACCACCTGTAGTTCATCCAGATAAATAGACTCTAACACCTCGACTTCAGAGGGAAGTACCCTGGAGAGACAGGAGGAGATTGGCTCACCATTACAGCTCTCCCCATCAAAGCCTGCTAGAGCCTGTGATGGCTGACTTTATACAAAACGAAATTTGCCTGAGTGTGTTCTTTTGCTAACCTCCATAAAAACAGGGGAAATAGGTTTTCTTACATTGTCAAGGGGCCAGGTAGGAAGCATGGGAATCAGAGTTTAAGGGACTATTTCTGTCAACAGATGAGGAAATGGATTCTTGGGAAGGTGAAATGACTGGCTCAAATACCAAAGTTTAACAGGCAGAACTAGAAACAGAGCCTGACTCCGTTTAAATTCCATCATGCTGCTAGTTGACCATCTCTGTGACCCAGAAATAAGCTGTCAATTGATTCACACCAAGGCTACCAATACCACTCCTAGCTTTCCCTACACCACTGTTCATGTGGATTCCAGTGTCTACACATACTCCCAGTATCAGTTACCCTAAGCCTACTCAAGGAGATAGCAACCTGAACAGAAAAAGAGGTCTAGGTGGTATAAACACCATGATGTAGCAGAAGAGCCATCAGTTTTCGAGTAATAGGTACTAATCACTTATAGCTACATGATCTGAGTAACTCCGTAAGCTTGAGTCACTCTGGCTACTATATATAGGTAATGCCACCTACTGTCTAGATTTATTATAATGATAAAAGGCTGTTTATGTAAAGTATCTAATAATATCTTGGCCATAGTGTGTAGTCTAGGTCCTCTTTTCTATTTGTATATAACCTTCTCCTGTAAAAAGGAAAGAAAAGGATATAGTCGGTATTCAATGTATTTACGACCCTTGCTATCTGGTTGATCTAGATCAACCTGTTTAGGTCAAGATCAGGTTGCCCTGATGTCAATGAGAGAACATACATGTTTAATCAAAGAAACAGGAGTGGTAATGACACTGAAGATTAGTGATAGGCTGAAGTCCATAGCTCTGCTCAGGTAATGCACATAAGGACGCATGCTTGGTTTCCTTTACAGTTACTGTTCCTTCTTTATCAAGAGCAGGGCTGCCCTAGCATATCCCATATATTGCTCGTTCTCAAATTTTCTTTTTAAGTCTTAGGCCCCTCAAAATATAAAATAGATAACAGTGGTGTGGTTTGGGTCGACGTGAGTGTGGGAGTCTCAGGACACCACAGGCTAGCTGTGCAATCACTACTGGCCTCTCCATGGCTCAACGTGCCTCCTCAGAATTATAAAGTTTCCCTAAATAAGTTGAAAACCATGAGCCTAGATAGTCTCAAAAAGGCCAACAGTGGCTGGGCTCCTTGAACCAATGATATCCATGAAGAGGCTTTCAATGCTTCACCTGCCCTAGTTGTGACTTGGGACCTGGATGTGAGGTGGTGACAAAAAAGGGGGTGAGGGTAGGGAGACTGTATAATGTCCTAGTACCAAAAACATGATTCAGAATCAGATAACCTGGATTCCTAGGTCATAGGTATGCACCTTTTTGGCAAATCGATTTACCTCCTCAGGCTTCATCTAGTCCCCTCAGGTACTCGCACCTCAATTGGAAAAAGGACGCTTTTATGTATAAATCCACCGTGAGCCTCTCAACTATTCTGAGGTAGATGCCACACCCACTTTTTTACATCTCAGGACACTGACTCACAGAAGCTAGGTGGCCTGGTCAGCATCACACGCTAATAAAACGTGGAGTGAACCCACATTTATCCTATTTCCAATCCCAGAGTCCTTCCAGGTTTTGGTCTCTTGTTGAGAATGCTTGAGAGAAGGACTAGGAGAGCTTTGTGTGAGGTGTAAAGCTTTATTCAGACAAGCTCTTTCGTGCTGTCGGGGAGGGAGAAGGCTGAGGAAAACCTCGGCGGAAATTGGCTGACCCAAGGGGAAAGGGGTCAGGGGCGGGAGGGCACCGGCTCCGGGAGGTAAAAGGGAGGTGGGAGAGGTGATAAGCAGGCATCCTCGGGACCCTGAGCAAATCCACTTCAGGACAATGAGACGAGTGAGGCCAGAGAAGAGGGGATCGAGCCAGATAAGGCGCGGCCCGAGCTGGCCTGGCCTCCTCTCCCGTCCGATCGGTGCCCCTCCACCCTCAGCTCCCCGGTACAGAAGCTCTCTCGGCGAGACATGTCAGCGCCTCCGCCACCCCTTATCCCTCGCTCCGCCCCACAAGCCCGCCGTACGGACCGTCCGCGGCCACCGCCAGTCTCCCGGACCGGACCCAGGCGGCCAGCCAAAGCCCATGCCCCCAGTTACCAGTCCTCCTCCCCCGCAGCTGCCGACGCAGACGCCGCCATGTCTCCTCCGGCCCGCAGCCGGAACCGGAAATGCCCTCTGGGAAGGCGGAGGCGGCGAGGAGAGAGCAGGCGCGCGGCCGTTTCCAGGCAACCGTGGACTCCCGGTCCTCAGGGGGTCCTGAGGCCCAAGGGACGGCTCGGAAGTGCCCTAGGAAGTGCCTATGGGCAGTCCTCCGTCTCTCCCAAAGCCTGAGCGCCTCTGTCCTCTGGGCTTCTTCTGGCCAATTCCAACGACTACAGCTGGAAACAGTGGGAGTCCCAAGAGTCCGGCTGTGGGGGGAGGGGAAGAATTGTAAGTCAGGCAAAGTGTGCAGGCAGCCGGGCGGGGCGGGGCTGAGGGCCGGGGCTGAGGGCCGGGGCCCACGTCCCTCGGCCTGAGGAGCTGGAAGCTCCTCGGCTGGGGGTGAGTGAGAGGCTCCGGTCTGCGAAGCGCGCCGGCCGGGGGCGTGGGCGGGCTGCTGGGCAGGTTGGCGGTGGCGGGAACTTGGGAGAGGCTGGGAGGGGCGGGGTCTGTGGGTCTGGCCGGATGGAGGGGGCGGGGGCGGGTGGGCGAGGCTGGGCGGAGGGGCGGGGCGAGGACGCGGCTGGGTCGGGGGAGGGGGCGGGGCCCGGGGCCCGGAGGGCGGGTCTGCGCGGAGGGGGAAGGGGGACACTGGGTCCTACGGGAATGGAGGTGGGTTGGGGGTGGGGGGGGGCTAGAAAGGAGGGAGAACGACAAGAGGCGCCCTGTTTGCTCCGAGATCTGGTCTTGCCATTCACTCCACTACGATGTTTTTGAAGCCTGGATTATTATGAAAAAAAGGCAAGGTGGCTGACATGAAGCTTTCTTCCATGCCCGCAGCAGGCCTCCTGGATGTGTAGACCTGTCCCTGGAGCTGTAGCCCTTCACCACCGTCTCTACCTCCTTCCTTCTGAGGGATCCTGAAGCCTCTGTCATGGAAAAGTACCACGTGTTGGAGATGATTGGAGAAGGCTCTTTTGGGAGGGTGTATAAGGGTCGAAGAAAATACAGTGCTCAGGTGGTGCACAAAGAGGGGCGTCTCTTGGGTGGGATTCTGTACCTCCAACTACTGTGGAAAATGGGACCAGATTACCGGCCAGTATTCCTGAAGCACTCTCTCATTCCTCTTACAGAGTAGGAGCTCTAATATTGGATTACTTGAGTTCAGATCCTAAGTCCACCACTTTGTAGCCTTTTAACTATGGACAAGTTACTTAACCTCTCAGCTACTTAACCTCTCAGTTACTTAACCTCTCATCTCTAGGATGAGGATAAAAACAGTATCTGATTGATGGGGTTTGAGGATTAAATGTGATTATCACTGAATCACTACGCTAGTATAGTGTCTGCCACCTAGTAAACAGTAAATAAATTGTTTATTATTATTCTCTCTGTCAAGCCATAGCAGAAGAGAGAGACCACTTGAACTCTATTCTTTCTTCATTTTTTTCTTCTTTCTCTTTCCCTTAAATCTTTACCCAGAGTGCTTTACCCAGATTAGAACACCTCTCCCAGAATCCACCAAAGGGATCTGCCTGGTGGAGGCTGTTTTGTCCTAGGGTAGGGGGTGGGGGAGGCCTAGATAAGGCCAGGGTATATGGGGTAAGGGGAGTAGCTGACTAGTGGGTAATGAGAATTTGTTCAATCTAAAGCCTGAGTTCTGGAACTCTGAGACGAATGTTTCAATAGCATGGTTAGGCCTTGATGTTTCATCTTACCACTGACAGGTGGTGGCCCTGAAGTTCATTCCAAAATTAGGACGCTCAGAGAAGGAGCTGAGAAATCTGCAACGAGAGATTGAAATCATGCGGTGTCTGCGGCATCCTAACATAGTGCATATGCTTGACAGCTTTGAAACTGACAAAGAGGTGCACTTGGGTTTTGGGTCACCCTTCCCCAAGAAGAAGGCTCCCAGAAATTTCCTGACCTCACAATGCATAAATCTGGAGCCATCAGTACAGTACCATTGTCTTCTCCCTGCAGGTGGTGGTGGTGACAGACTATGCTGAGGGAGAGCTCTTTCAGATCTTGGAAGATGACGGAAAACTTCCCGAAGACCAGGTACGTTTCCTGGCTCAAACTTCTCCTCTCCCCTGACCTCTTTTCAGCTTAAGGACTGGTAGGGAAAGCTCGGGGCACTGACTGTCACCATTTTGAAAAGTCCTGAGGAAAATACAAGACTCTAGGTGTCTATGGAGTCAGTGTGGTGTGACAGGAAAGTATGTGAACACTGGAGCTCAAATCTCTGAGTACAGAGGTTGACCCTACCACTTTCTAGCTGGATATTCGTGGGTAAGTTCCTTTAACCTCTTTGTGCTGTTTCCTCATTTAAAAATGGAAGTAATTATAACGTCTGTTTCATGAAGCTATTGTGAAGATTAGTGAATTAATTCTTTTTTTTAAAGATTTTACTTATTTATTCATGGTAGACACACACACACACAGAGGGACAGAGACACAGGCAGAGACACAGGCAGAGGGAGAAGCAGGCTTCATGCAGGGAGCCCGATGCGGGACCTGATCCCGGGACTCCAGGATCAGGCCCTGGGCCAAAGGCAGGCGCTAAGCACTGAGCAACCCAGGGGATCCCTAGTGAATTAATTCTTGTAAAGTGTTTAGAAGAGTGCCTGACACACAGTATTCAATATAGAGTTATTATTGCTATTATTTTTTAAGATTTATTTTTTTTTTAAGATTTTATTCATTCATGAGAGAGAGAGAGAGAGGGAAGGAGGGAGAGAGAGAGAGAGGCAGAGACACAGGCAGAGGGAGAAGCAGGCTCCATGCAGGAAGCCCAACGTGGGACTCGATCCCAGGTCTCCAGGATCACACCCTGGGCTGAAGGCGGCACTAAACCACTGAGCCATTTGGGCTTCCCAATTTTATTTATTCTTTTGATAGAGATAGAAAGAGAAAGAGTGTGTGTCTGCATGCACAAGCAGGGAGAGTGACGGAAGTGGGGAGCCTGACTTGGGGCTCAACCCCAGGGCCCTCAGATCATGACCTGAGCCAAAGGCAGCTGCTTAACCGATTGAGCCACCCAGGCACCCCAGTTCACGATTATTAATGCTGTTGCTGTCACGAGGCATCTTTAGGGAAGAAGGGCTAGTGTGTGGTACCAGAGAGGGCAGGAAGGTATAAGGGGCGTAGTTAAGGCAGGATTCACCACCAAGACCTAGTGGTTAGCAGTGGGATTTGGTTGAACACATTCTCCAGCCACACTTGTTGTAGGGATTTCTCTGTACCCTAGCAAGCAAGTAGGCCCCCCTCAAGACTTCTTACTGCATCATTCTATCTCCTTCTAAGGATTATTACTTGTAAGTCATCATCTCGTTCATTTTTTCTATCTTATTCGTTTGCGTACTTCTCTTGAGAAAAAGGACTTTGTCTCATTTAATGACAGCTAACGTATGTTGAAGGTTTACTAAGTGCCAGGCACCATTCTGAGTATGGAATGCTGTAATTTATTTAATCCTTGCAGTAATCCTATAAGGGAGATGGTATTATTAGCGTCACTTCGTAAATGACACATCTGAAACGCATGAGATAATTTGCCCATCGTGGTCATGTGGCTACTGAAACTCGGAACATTTTCCTTGAGTGAGTGAATGAACAAGTGAAAGAATGAATGAATGGGGCGGCAAGAACTAAGGAAGATGTTATGTGAAGCTCTGGAAGAAAGAAAAAGAAGAGAAGATGACATCAGTTATTTAGGGAAGTGTCTTTGGAATCATCAGGAGTCTCCTTCGTCTGACCTCTCCTTTTTGTTGCACCCGTTTGACCCCTAGGTTCAAGCCATCGCTGCTCAGTTGGTGTCTGCTCTGTACTATCTGCATTCCCACCGCATCCTCCACCGAGACATGAAACCGCAGAACATCCTTCTTGCCAAGGGTGGTGGTATCAAGCTCTGTGACTTTGGGTGAGGAGAAGACTGACCTTCCTTCTCTGCTTCTAGTTCTGTAGGGAGTCTTACACCATATGCTTGACTTACCTGGGTCTCATATTAGAACCCGAGCTGGAGACTGGGATTCCTATTGGGTCTTTTGAAAGGCGCTCTCTGTTTGCATTTAGGATATCTCGCACAATGACAGGTAGTAGTCAGCAGGCCTAGTTTATATTGATCATACATTCTCTCTTCCTATTTCCTTCCATCGTCTCCTGCAGATTTGCCCGGGCGATGAGCACCAACACGATGGTGCTGACCTCCATCAAAGGCACACCACTTTATATGTCTCCAGAGCTGGTGGAAGAGCGACCATATGACCACACCGCAGACCTCTGGTCTGTGGGCTGCATACTGTATGAGTTGGCTGTAGGCACCCCTCCCTTCTATACTACAAGCATCTTTCAGCTGGTCAGCCTCATTCTCAAGGACCCTGTGCGCTGGCCAACCACCATTAGTCCTTGCTTCAAGGTAACAAACATAGAAAGGGAAATTACTTTTGCATCAGACACCTGTGTTCCTGTGCCCCCGTTCCCTTTTCCAAAATCTGGGGCAAGACTTTGCAGTTACTGAATGAATGCAGGAGCTGGGCCAAGCTGCCTTGCTTTTCTACTGCAGGGGCGGATTCTGGGAGGCTGTTCTAAGATCGGCCAAACGGGAATAGCAGACTCTGCTGGGGGCAGATTATTCTTTATCGCAATGGGAAGGTAATTTTGAGCCACGAGGGACAGATGCTGTCCTCTTACACACTCTCTATCCTGCTTATTTGCTATCAGATGCAAGATGGTATTTAGATTTGCCCACAAAACTTTCAGTCTTCCTGAAAGAAGGAACCCTCAGACATCCAGACGGCCAGAGCTAGTGGGGCTAGCTCAGTGATAGGGGCAGATGACAGAAATTCTGCTTGTTGATTGTAGCTAAGTTGCAGCAGGGGAAGGGGGGGAGGCGGGAGGGAGGGAAAAGAGTTGACCCTTTTTTATTTCTTATCTAGGGCAAAATTTAGGCCCTCAATGGAATTTAAATGCAACCTTTTCCCAGAGTGCAGTCTCATTATAACTTTCCCTTGCCCTGTCTGAGATGAAAAGGGACAAGTTTCTCCCTAACCTATTTAGTTGGGAAGGCTCAAGTAGTTATCAAAGTGAATCTAAACAAAAGAAACTTCTGTGAGTGAGAGACACAAGATATTCATTCTGTCTTAGAACAGACATGCAGTCATCTTCATTCAGCAAGAGCCACAGTACACTAATCACCTTGTTTTAAAACAGTGGTCATCACCTACCAGTACCTTCTATTCCAGTTTTAGGCCCAACTGAGGATTTTCCCAAGATTACCTCATAACAGATGTACCTTTTTCAGAGGCAGTCTCCCTTTCCCACCACCGTCTGAAAACTTGCCGAAAGATTTCTATTTTGCGTGCTTCCAAACCTATGTTTACACAGTGACTTTGTGTGTGAGTGTGCATTTAGCCACAAATGCATCTGTTCCTACCTGGCTGCAGACAAACCCACAATCAAAGGGAGGACACAGTGAGCAACTTGGACCCCTCTGAACGTTTGTTTTCTGAAGATGATTATGAAGGTGACAGAATGTTTCTGGATAGGAATTGGGGCTTTCCGGGAGGTGAGGCGGTGAAGTCTGTCTCTGGAGCCAGGGAAATGAGGCCTGAGGATAGGGCTAGAGAGGCTGTGATCAAGAGCAGCTAGTTTGCTGAAGGAATGGACTCAGGAGTCTTGGTTTCCTGCTTCTGCTGGGAAGCTGAAGAGAGCCTGTAGGAAAGCAAAGACCCACGGGTTATTTTTTCTTTCCACAGAGCTTCCTGCAGGGACTGCTCACCAAAGACCCCAGGCAGCGTCTGTCCTGGCCAGACCTCTTACATCACCCCTTTATAGCTGGTCGTGTCACCAGTGAGTCATTACGGTTCCCAGGGCTTTGGCACTTCCCTGGTGCTCTTCTCAACCCACCCTCGTCCCCCCATGTCTGGATGCAGTGCATCTGCTTTACCCTACCAGCTCGAACTTTCTTCCTAGCCCCTTGCCTGACCTTTGTCACTTCCCATGCCACCCCACTCCACCCCCTCTTTCTCACATTGTTAAAATGATCTCCTTCCGCAGAAGCTTGAAGACACTGAAGTTGTCTCTGGCTAAGTGGAGATGATGGCTCCACTCCAGTGTGATCACATATTCTTCCCTCATCCTTCCTTGCAGTAATAACTGAACCAGGAGTCTCAGATTTGGGCACCCCATTCACCAGTCATCTACCCCCAGAACTTCAGGTCCTAAAGGACCAGCAGGTGCATCGACTGGCCCCCAAGGGCAATCGATCTCGAATCTTGCGACTTGCCTGTAAGCGCATGGCTGAGGAGGCCAAGCGGAAGGTATGTGAGACAGGGGACAGGTGACATGACTAAACTAGCGATTGGGGAAGTTGGAGAAGGAAGGTGAGAAAGAGCCATGAATAGAAATCATAATGCCTTGTGGCAACCACATGGTTTTGATGCTGTGTCTCCTGCCCACTTCCCACAGAAACACCAGAACACAGGACCTGCCCTTGAGCAAGAGGATAGGAACAGCAAGATGGCTTCTGGCACAGCCCCTCTGCCTAGACTAAGAGCCACTCCTCAGGAACCAGGCCTCATAGCTGGGATCTTGGCCTCAGAAATGAAGAGCAGCTGGGCTGAATGGGGGGCTGGAGAGACCCCCCCTGCACCTCGGTGAGGAAAGGATAGTCAGGGATTTGTAGGATGAGGTATCTTGTGGATTGATTTAAGCTAAAGCTAAAGCTTTAGCCAAAGCAAATACAACATGGTACCATGGTGCCTAGCACCATTTAGCCACTGCCTAAATGGAGACAGGGCCCTGGGAGTCCAAGGCCTAGGTTCTTGAATTCTGATTCTGGATATTTTTCTGATTCATCAGGAATCAGAACTTTCCATTCTCTATGCCTTTATTAACTGAGAAAGAAAGAATTGTCTCCGTGAAGATTATTTGAGTTGCAAGCTCCAAGTGAAAACCACCAAGGTAGACTTGAGAGTAAGATCCAAAGTGGAAGAGCAGTCAAGAATAAGTGTGTAGTGGTCAACATCCTGTCCTACAAGAGAGCTCTCCCCTATCCAATCCCATATGGCTTATTCTTCATTCTTATCCTGGGCCTAGAGAGAGGGACATGTTCCTGAACCTCACAGGAACTCCTCCTACTCCCTGTTCCTCTGGCAGGGAAAACCAGATCACCCAGGATTGTGAACAAGCTGACCCAGAGCTGAGGCCAGAGGTGGTGGGCCAGCAGAGCATTGATGCAGTGGACCTCGAAAATGAGGTAAGCCCTAAGGGGCTCCATTTGGCCTTGACCCTGCCGGGAGATGTTGGATCTGGGTTACAGTGATTCCCAGCTATCCCAAGTATGAGCTCCCCTTGTGTTAAAAATTGCTTTTTTATTACAATTTGTAGATTTTAATTGCGTAGTGTCTGAACATATAATTATCAAAAATTGGAACACATAGGTAAAAATGAAGCCTTACCCCATCTGGAGCCTTACCCCAATCCCAGAGGTGTCTGCTGTTATTAGTTTAGTCTCTTCTTCCAGACTTCTTGAATTTCTACATATATGTATATGCACACACAAATCTACAGTTTGGCTGTTCTTACGTATCTGAGTTCACACCACGTATACTGTTTTATATTGTGCCTCACTTACCATATAACCTGTTTTGGAGAGCCTTCTACATCTGAACATGTAATTTTGGGGGGATTTTAACTTTTTATTTTTATTAAGTTTCAAACTTAATAATTGTGAGGAGGCCACAAAAAGTTCCTGTATCCCCTTCACACAAATTAACCCACTGTTAAAATGCTGCCATAGTTGCTTTGATTCTCTCTCTAGATATCTGCATACGGGTATATCTTTCTTGAGTCATTTTAGGGTCAGTTGCAATTATGTCCCTTTACTCCTAAGTACTTGAGTGCATATTTCTGAAGAATTAGACCATTAACCTACACCGTGACAGTACAATTACAGACGTCAGAAATTTAACGCGGATATAATTCTTTTACATCATCTACAATCTGTATTCAAAGTTTGCCAGTTGCTCCAGTAATGTTCTTTATAGGGGAAAAAATTTTTTTCCCAGTTTATGCTCTAATCTGGTGTTACATATTGTGTTTAGTTGTTATACCTCATGAGTTTCCTTTATTCTGGAAGAGTTTCTAGTCTTTGTTTTTCATAACTGACAATTTTGAGGTATAGAGGCCAGTTATTTTATAGAATGTTCCTCAAATTCAATATTTCCTCCTGATGAGATTCGTTTATGTAGTTATGGTGGGAATACTACATAAGTGATACATCCCCCCTTCTACGCTCTTTTTATTTTTATTTTTTTAAAGAGAATTCTTTTCTTTTTTTAAGATTTTATTTATTTATTCATAGAGACACACACACAGAGAGAGAGAGAGAGGCAGAGACACAGGCAGAGGGAGAAGCAGTCTTCATGCAGAGAACCCGATGTGGGACTCAATCCAGGGTCTCCAGGATCACACCCTGGGCTGCAGGCGGCGCTAAACCGCTGTGCCACCGGGGCTGCCCTCTACACACTCTTTTTAGTAACTTCATAATATTTCCTAAGATGGATGTGTCATGATTTATTATTCCCTTACTGATTGTCTTTATGACATTTCCAATTTTTAAATTATAAACCATGTTGTAATAGACATATTTTTAGATATCTCTTTAAGAACACATGCCAGTATTCTCTAAGAGACTTTTCAAGACCCCTCAAGTGCTGTCAACTGTACCTTTTTAAACTGGTGGTTGGAAAAAATACATCTGTACCAAAGAATTCACTGGTTCTTGCATCTACTTCAATGATTCACCAGGTTGAGTGACCTCTTTTATTCCCCTATGCTTCAGGAGCCAGATAGCGACGATGAGTGGCAACACCTGCTAGAGACTGGTGAACCTGTGCCCATCCAACTGAAGGCCCCTCTCACTCTGCTGTGCAATCCTGACTTCTGCCAACGCATCCAGGGTCAGCTGCATGAGGCTGGAGGGCAGGTAACGGGCACAAGTAATGGGATTTTAGACTATTTTAGTCACAGATGAGGCATGAAAAAAAAACAGGAGAAAAAAGGAGGTTTGTCCCTTTCCAATTCTCTTTCAATTCATCTGTTTAATTCAAGACTTAATAAGCTCCTTTAGTAACACAGAACAGTCCTTGGCTCTCTAAAGTAAATAAATATTTTTTAAAAAGGAGGCGCCTTGGTGGCTCAGTCGGTTGAGTGTCTGACTCTTGATTTCTGCTCAGGTCATGATCTCAGGGTTGAGAGACCTAGTCCAGCCTCAGGCTCCACATTCAGGAGGGAGTCTGCTTGAGATTCTCTTTCTCCCTCTGCCTCTCTGCCCCCTGTGCATGTAAGCTCGTGTGTGTGCTCTGTCTCTCTAATAAATACATAAATCTTAAAAAAAAAAAAAAAAAGAACAGGCCTCAATTTTTCTGAAGCAAAAAACATTCATCTAGAGCAAGGATGGGCAAACTTGGATGGTAAATGTTTTAGACATTGAAGAGCAAGAAGCAAAAATGGAGGATATTGTTAAGTTCTTCCATGATGAGAGAAAGCTCTCTTCCACATAATTTTATTGATGAAATTAAAGTATAGATATAGTAAGTATGTAAGAGCTTCTAACATAGATATACTAATGAGAAGAATGAGATTCTTTTTTAAAGGATAGCATTTTAATTTGCATTCATATTAGTTTTTTTCTTACAAAGGCTTTCCTTTTCTGAAACACCATGTTCTTCCTTGCCAGGAACTCACCAAAATATATTGCCTGCATCTCTTTCCTTCTCTTTTCCTTAAAGGTTGTTTTTTTTTCTTTTCTTTTTTTTTTTTTTTTAGTGCATTTTAGAAAATACCAAATTGTGAAACCATCACTATAATATATTTTTAGAATATTTTTATCTCTCCATTAAGATCCCTCATACCCATTTACAGGTAATTATCAGTCCCAACCTTGGCCTCAGGCTCCTACTTTCTGTCTCATAGATTTGCCTTTGCTGGACCTAAATGGAATCATAAAAATATACAGTCTTTATATTTGGTCCCTTTCATGTAGTAGAATGTTTTTGAGGTTTGTTCTTCTTGTGAGGTGTATCAATACTTCATTTCTCTTTGTTGCTGATTAGAATTCCATCATATGGATGTATCACATTTTGTTTATTCACTCACTAGTTGATGGACATTTGAATTGTTTCCACTTTTTGGCTTTTGTGAATAACTTTGCCATTCAGGACATTCACGTGGAAGTCTTTGTGTGGGCATACATTTTCATTTTTCTTTCTTGGATACCTAAGAATTGTTGGGTTGTATTGTAATTTATATTTATCATTTTAAGAAGCTGCTAAACTATTTTCCAAAGTGGCTGTCTCATTTTGCATTCCCACCAGCACTGTGTGATGGTCTCTGTTTCTCCATGTTCTTGCCAACATATATTATTGTTTGTCTTTTTATCACAGCCATTCTAGTGAATGTGAAATTGTGTCTTATTGTCATTTTAATTTGAATTTTGCTAATAACTAATGAGGATCTTTTCATGTGCTTATTAGCTCTTTGTATTTCTTCTTTGGCGAAATATCCATTCAGTCATTTTGCTCAGTTTTAAATCTGGTTGTTTGTCTCTTTGAGTTTTAAGAGTTCTTTGTATATTCTGGGTAGGAGACCTTTATCAGATATATGGTTTGCAAATATTTTCTCCCAGGCTCTGATTTGTCTTTTTATTTTCATAAGAGTGTTTTTTGAAGCACAAAGGTTTTGAATTTTGATGACATCCAATTACCATTTTTCTTTTTCTTTTGTGGATTATGCTTTTGGTGTTAGAGGAAAGAATTCTTTTCCAAACCCAAAGTCTGGAAGACTTTTCTCCCATGTTTTTTCTAAAAGTTTTTTAGTTGGACTCTAATATTTATGTCTCTGGCCCATTTTGAGTTACTTTTTATGTATAATGTGAGGTAGGGATCTAAGTTCATCTCTCTGCTTGTGGCTATACAGCATCCATGGTCTAAGGCACCCTTTTCCTCATTGAATTGCCTTGGCACCGTGCACCTCCCTCTGGCCCTTCCGTGCTGTCCTCGCTGTCCTCACAGTGTTGGGTAACTTCAATTGGGCAGCCCCAGTGGCACAGCGGTTTAGCGCCGCCTGCAGCCCAGGTCGTGACCCTGGAGACCTGGGATCGAGTCCCACATTGGGCTCCCTGCATGGAGCCTGCTTCTTGTTCTGCCTGTGTCTCTGCCTCTCTCTCTCTCTCTCTCTCTCTCTCTCTCTCTCATGAATAAATAAAATCTTTTTTAAAAAAATAGGGAGGCAGGTGAAAAACTCTGCCTCCAGGGTAAAACTTCGGAGTTTGAATTCCAGCCGAACTACTCTTTAGCTGTGTGATAATTGACTCCTTACTTAACCTTCCTACAGACTTTAATCTTCTCATCTGTAAAATGGATAATTGTGTTTACTGAGCAGGTTATTGTAAAAGAGTAAATGAGCAAATAAGTGAAAAGATTTAGAAACAGTGAATGACATGTTATAAAGCACTTGATGTAAATGTTATTCTCTTTTGAAGAGTGACTTTTTGTTTTTATTTTAATTTTTTTTAAGGATTTTATTTATTTATTCATGAGACACAGAGAGAGAAAGAGAGGCAGAGACACAGGCAGAGGGAGAAGCAGGCTCCATGCAGGGAGCCCGATGTGGGACTGGATCCTGGGTCTACAGGATCATACCCTGGGCTGAAGGCGGCGCTAAACAGCCGAGCCACCCAGGGATCCCGAAGAGTGACTTTTTAAAGAATAACCGTGTTTGTTTCTTTTAAAATTTTATTTATTTATTCAGGAGAGACACAGAGAGAGAGGCAGAGACCTAGGCAGAGGGAGAAGCAGGCCCCCTGTGGGGAGAGCCCCATGTGGGACTTGATCTGAGGACCCCAAGATCACTACCTGAGGCAAAGGCAATTGCTCAGCCACTGAGCCACCCAGGTGCTCCTGAAGAATAACCGTTTAAGAGTATCATACTGCCCTTACCTTGCAGGTTGTATAAAAATAAGTGACAGACTGGATTTGGCCTGCGAGTCATAGTCAAGTTTTGATCTAGAGTTAAGATAATACTATTTTATCTGTCTGGAGTTGAAGGACATTATTTTATGTCTGTTGGTTTTAATCTTTGGAAGTATGTGTGTGTGCATGCATGTTTAAGGTGAAGGGCTGGAGAAGGAAGGGAGCAGATAGGGATAACACTAGGTCTGACAGAGATTTAGGGGAGGCCCCCTTTCCATTGGTCCCTGCTGTTGTAAGTCAGGTGACCTGTCCATCTATATTTCTTTTCCCTGGCACTGTTTCCCTTTTTCTGTGGTCTCCCTCTCTGGGTTTTGGAGTCCCAAAGAAAGGAGTGAGAACATTTGGTCTGCTTTGCCAACTCCTTGGAGGACACTGGTATTTGTGACTTTCCTTTTCCCTCTGATAATAGCAATTACTGTCTGTTTCCCTCATGTCACCCAGATCCTGAAAGATGTGCCGGAGGACGCTTCCCATATCCTTCCTGCACTTCGGGTCCTGAGCAGTCTTCTATCCAGCTGCAGCAACTCTGTTCCCTTGTACTCCTTCTGCCGTGAGGCAGGGCTCCCCGGGCTCCTGCTCAGCCTGCTCAGACACAGCCAGGAGAGCAACAGTATCCAGCAGGTAAGCACGAGGCCAGGAGCCTCGCAAGACTTACAGAAATTTCTTCACTTTCCATGTCTCTTCTTCCAAGTGTTGCTTCTATTCGGGCCCCAGCGGGGTTTTTTTTTAAGATTTTATTTATTTGACAGCACACAAGCAGAGGGAGCTGCAGGCAGAGGGAGAGGTAGAAGCAGGCTCCCCACTGAGCAGGGAGCCCGATATGGGGCTCCATCTCAGGACTCCGGGATCACGACCTGAGCCAAAGGCAGATGCTCAACTGACAGAGACAGCCAGGTGCCCGGCCCCCAGCCTTTTATTTTCTTTTCTCCTGTGCAGTTAGTAGATCACGAATTGCAAACGCCACTGGCTTCTGAGGCCAGACAGATCACGTCAGTCAGCGAAGTAGACTGTATGACTCTTATGAATAATGGGAAACATGATAAACTGGAGAGCTCGAGCCCAGTCTGAATGGGACATCCCCTCAGCTCCAGCTCACTGTTGCCACACAAGAACATGGGCCCAATATTGCTAGATCTTCCAGTTTTCTAAGAAAAGCAAGAAATCCAGATGTATATGCACAGTTTCCCAAAAGGTAGAGCACTGCGTTTTGGAATGTCAAATCCTAGGCTTTCATTGACCCAATTTTATGGAAACAAAAGTATGGAAATTCAGAGATTCACCTACTCATACACAGGCACTAAGTTGTACGTGGTCACAGGGATGATAAGTTGAGGAGCTAGGGTTGAGGCTCAATGTGTCCGAGGCTGAATCCCTACCTCCCATGCTGTGTTGTGCTGGGGCTGAGCTGAGAGGGCAGGATACTGAAATGTTTCCTGGTAGAAGGAGGTGCCCGGCGAGGCCTGGCAAGACTCCGCTTATCTCAGCAGGCAACAGAACGGGGGAGCCAGGCTCTGGGCAGCCGGGGGCTCCACCCTGCCCTCCTGAGGGCATGGGATCCCGCTCCGAGGGGGTCCCCAGGCCACCCCAGGGGCCCCCACACCTCTGCCTGCCCCGGAAGTGGGGCTCCCGAGGACAACCCATTATCGGGATCATCGTAACAGCCAGGAGCCCTCCCCATCCCTGAGCTGCCCTCATTATCTGTGCCCTTCCTTTTCCTCCTTTAAGCTGGCACCGGCTTTATTAATATTTGAATTCTAATGGCTAATACTTTAAATTAAGGTAGCATTTATAAATACTTTATAGTCCATGAATAATTGACCAAATTTAGTATTTTCATAACTCATAGTAAATTATTGATCCACGGAGAATAAAAAAAAAAAAGCAGCTGGAAGCTGCTTTCTGTTCATGAGTATTAACCTTGAGTGTTACTAAAGAATTTAGAAAAGAATTTGAGCTATTTTGAAAAAATAGAGCCTCCTAAACCGTCTAAATGCGTTCAGGCCAGACAGGACACATTTTCAGGCTGCTTTTGGCCATTGGCTACCAGTTTGTTACCTCTAGATTTCCCCTCTTTTTCTGGACGCTCTATTCCCTCTGCCCCTTTCTGTTTGGTCAACGTGACTGGATATCAGACCACTTTTTTTTAAACTGTTTTTTCTATTTTGTCTCCATCTCCTACATCGCTCTTACTCTCTGTCCTCTTCCCTGGCAGCAATGTTGGTATGGGACCTTCTTACGGGACCTGATGGCAGTGATTCAGGCCTACTTTGCCTGTACCTTCAATCTGGAGAGGAGCCAGACAGGTGACAGGTGGGATGAGAGCCAGTTTTGCTTCGTTGGTTGCTTTGACTACAATGTCTATCCCAATTTCTTCCCCTATCATGAAAAGGCTGAGTAAGGAGAAGATGACAGGTTAGGGATGAGCCCACTGACCCTGAGAGTCTAGCTAATCTTCCTAAGGACCGTGAGACCCACTCCAAGACTTGCAGGTTCTAAGGGTCATGAGACAATAAATGGAAGGGGTCACAGTATGAATAATCTCAAGAAAATAGCAAAGAAGGGGCTAGAAGGGCATGTATGTAAGACTGTGTGTATGTTTAGCAGGGGAGAGGGGATGGAGCATTCTGAGATTTTCCTCTTCAGAGATTCTCCTGTCTTCCCAGAATTGACCTATTTACCACATGTGGGCTTTTAGAGAGATGGGCTATTTTTTCCCAGCCTACAGGTGTTTCAGGAGGCTGCCAACCTCTTTCTGGACCAGTTGGGGAAACTGCTGGCCCAACCAGATGACTCTAAGCAAACTTTGTGGAGGGATAGCCTTATGGTAATCTACTCCTTTGTCCAGATTTTTGTCTTTGATGTCTTTCCCCATGTTTCTCCCTTTTCCTTTCTTCTAACTGCATGGGGTTGGATCAAGGTAATACAAGCATTTACTGACTTTGTGCCATATGAAGAGATAGTCCCCGTCCTCAAGGGACTAGTAGTAGTCTAGTAGGGGAAATGAAAAATGATCAAGGACTACATTAGTGTGGAAAGTACATTAGAACTTATATAAAACTTGCATAAAATGCAGAAGCACCACTGAAGAAGATACAATTAATGCTACTTGGGGAGTCCTAGAAGTCTTGAAGGAAATCATCTTTGCTAGAATTTGAAGAGCACATAGAAATTTGCCAGGTGGATGAGGCAGGAAGTAGGGAGGACATTCCAGGCAGAAGGAACAGCGTACATAAAGGTCCAGAAGTATTAAACACTGTTCCCTGTTTTAGGGAACCACGTGTAGAAGTATTCCTTTTCGAAGAGATTGCAGATGAGCTAGTTTCTCAAACTTATTTGTCCTGTGGACTAGTAAGCTAGTGAGTTCTCGCCTCTGGACTCTGGAGGTGAGGGCCAGGAGAACAGAAGATTGAACAAGAAGATACCTAAGTTCTAACTTATGTCAGAGGAGACAGAGAGGAACATCAGCAAGGAAGTAAATAATTGCCTAGTTGTTGTTCAAACTGGCAATGAGGGGACACAGATCTGAGCTGCATTTCTGCCTCCAGCGAGCAGTCCATTCAGACTCTTCTAGTCTGAGAGCCTATTTTAACATCCTTCACCCTCTCAAGTCAGGAAGCTTTTCCAATGTCTAACCTAAATTTTGGCCATCAGTGACTCATGTTACTGGCCGGCATTTATCATATATGTCTCTGTGCAGCGAGTGCATAGGGAATTTGGAATAAACCCCCCACCTTCCGAAATTCTGAACCGGTAGTACTAGGTTTGGAGGGACCCAGGAATCCCTAGGAATTCTCATACTCATGGTCTGCAGATAACACTTTGAGAAACATCATCTGGGAGGCAGTTGATCAAAGAATAGAAGGGTTGACACCTAAAATTGCCATCCTTGAAACATGAAGGTGATTATTAATGCATTTTCTATGCAAAGAATACTTAGAATGTCACAGCGGGTCCCTCTTGGTTTTCTCTTCTTTTCTCAGGTTCTCTAGGGGATTCTTGCTCCTTACCCTAAGCCCAGTCAGTCTGCTGCCCTAACGTCAACCCTGCCTTTGTCACCCTTAGTGCTTTACTGTTCTGTGTGAAGCCATGGATGGGAACAGCTGGACCGTCTCCAAAGCCTTTTACTCCAGCCTGCTGACAACGCAGCGGGCGGTGCTGGATGGGCTTCTTCATGGTTTGACAGTCCCCCAGCTCTCTTTCCACACACCCCCAGGTAACCAGGGGTGTGTGGTTCACTTGACTCGAGAGTAACTCTGGCTCTGCCCTCCCAACTGCCATTGTGTCAAACAGTGCCTGACATTTAGTGAGTGCTCAGTAACTAACTGTGCACTGAAAGAATGAATGGGGATCTGAGAGAAATAACCAGGTCCTACCCTCCGTTCTTCGCCTTTCTCTATAGGAGCCCCCCAAGTGAGCCAGCCACTGCGGGAGCAGAGTGAGGATCTGCCTGGAGCCATGTCCTCTGCACTGGCAGCCATATGTACTGCTCCTGTGGGGCTGCCCAGCTGCTGGGAGGCCAAGGAGCAGGTCTGAGCTGCAGTTTTTGGTTCCTCTCATCCATGTTGCTGGAGATGAGGAAGCTGGCCTCAGTTTCTTAGAAAGGCAGAAAAATGAGCATTTATGCTTCCCCTTACTCTGTATCTCCAGAAACAGACACTCCCACCCTGGATCTGTGCCACTTTTAGAACATGATGTCAGCAAAACCCCAAAGCCCTTGGCTAGCTGGTTAGAGAGCTCAGTGACAAACTGCCCATGTGGCAGAGTGGCTGCTCTGAAGCCACCCATGATGCTTCCTCAAGGGCTCAGGATTTATATTTCCTGCTCCCTTTTGGCCAGTAACACTTTCCTCTGTACCTGCCCATACTGAGGCTAAACTAGGCCATGACCATTGGTTCTCCATTGGCCATGACGACTGGGGATGGGATGGGGTCTGAGGTTCCTGATGAACCTGGGGGAGAGTGGCTACCAAGGGGTCAAGAGTCCTGATTCATTGGAGATAGGAAAGAAATAGTATTGGAATCAGGAATGGGATGGAGGCTTCAGGTGTGTCCCTACAGATCTCTAGGCATTTGGCGAACCAGCTCAGTGAAGACAGCAACCAACTGAGGCCATCCCTCATCTCTGGCTTGCAGCATCCCATCCTGTGCCTACACCTTCTCAAGGTACTGCCTGTCCAAAACTCTTAGGACTTGATATTTCTTTTTTCTTTTCTTTTATTTTCTTTTTTCTTTTTCTTTTTCTTTTTGTTTCAGAAGGGACAGAGGGAGAGGGAAGGAGAATCTTTAGCAGGCTCCATGCCCAACACGGAGCCCAACATGGGGCTGGATCTCACAACCCTGAGATCATGACCCAAGCTGGAATCAAGAGTCAGGCGCTTAACCAACTGAGCCCCCCAGGCACCCCCAGATTTCTTTTTAATCCCTAGGACTAAGAGAAAGAGACACTGAGAGAGACAAGAGACCCCATAGGGTCCCTTTCTGCTTTTAAGTCTCTTCCACTGAGATGGCCCCACTGTTCGCCAGTACTCATCAGAACAGAGAAGTAGCCCAATCTCAGTGTCTTATAGAAAGAGTGGGATGGGCCTGAACTTGTCTAACACCTCAGTGTGGATACTAGATCCGTTGAGAGGCTAGCCTGCTTCTCAGCTGAGCCTTCCAATCTAGTTGCCTGGGGGCCATTTGACCTCATTGACAGACTGCTTTGTACTCTCTTAGGTTCTCTACTCATGCTGCCACATCAGTGAGCGCCTGTGCCATCTTCTAGGGCAAGAGCCCTTGGCCTTGGAGTCACTGTTGATGTTGGTCCAGGGGAAGGTAGGCCAGCAACACAGGCAGGTATATTGTGGTGGCCCCACTGCCTCAATCAGAAGTTGCTTTGCTATCTTGATTTCCTTTGTAGGTAAAGGTCATGGATTGGGAAGAGTCTACTGAAGTGGCTCTCTACCTTCTCTCCCTTCTTGTCCTTCAGCTGCAAGATCTGCCTCCTGGGTAAGTCATAAAGTGGGGTCTCTCCGCTGGAATCTCCCATCCCCATTGCTCACCCTTATGTAGAATATGGGGAATGGCACCTTGTAGCCTCCACTTAGGAGGGATTGGGATAGAGAGAGTGAAGTCTTCTCTACAAAGAATAGACCTAGATTCCCACCAACTTTGTGCCAACCTACATGGAGAGTGCTGTCCAGCAGGGAGAGGGGCCACCCCCCCTGCCTCCTTTAACTCAGCTGCACCCTTTGATGTGTCTCCTTTTTCCAGAATGGAGAAGCTAGGCAATGAGATTGCTACTCTCTTTACTCATTCACACATCGTCTCTCTTGTGGTGAGTTTTCAACTTTCCTCTTCCTCCCCTTTTTGCCCTGCCATCCAGCCCTTCTGGAGCACAGACATCACTATGTCATTAGCAGCAGGTATGATGCATATTCTGTGGCGCCAGATGGAGACATAAATCCTCTGTCTTGACTGCTGTGCCAATTCAGACATTCCTTCTCCTCTGACTTCCCCCAGAGTGCAGCAGCCTGTCTGTTGGGACAACTTGGGCAGCAAGGGGTGACCTTCGACCTCCAGTCTGTGGAGTGGATTGCTGCAGCCTCACACGCTCTGTCTGCCCCTGCAGAGGTGAGATAGCCCAGGGAGGACACAGACCCAGTGCTCCTGTCAGGGGAGGAGACTGAAGCGCCAGCATGACTGGGGGAAACCAAACAGTTGGAAAGGAGCCATGGAGTCTTTCCTTTCCTGTCTGTCTGTTCCCAGATCACAGCCCCCTCTGAGCCCAGACTGGCAGGCAAAGAAAGAGGGAAGGGGACCCGAGTTACCAGAGGATGTGATTTCCCTGTGTACCTCACTCCCTTCCTCTGGGAGCTCCTGCTCCTGTTGTTAAGATCTTTTCCAAAGCTTCATCCCTTCCCCTCAGATGGCAGATTGTGCTCCCTGTCCCCCACCCCACCATCCCGCCTTCTCCTCAACCAAGTTGGAAAAGGTAGCTGGCATCCTGAGAACTCTTCACAAATCCTGTCCACTCTGTAGCCTCCTTTCCACTTTCTCCTTTTTCTAGGCCCTTCCCCACTCTCCTTTTTAGATACTTTGGAACCCACCTGTCTCTCATTTTGTAAAAAGGATAGACTTTGGATTCAAATGATCATCATCCTTATAGGTGCAGAATTCTTTAGAACTCAGAAAGTATTTCACATGTTATCCCATGACACGCTGGAGATGTAATGGTACTGACCTGCTTCCCCTAGGTGAAGTGGAACTTCAGAGAGGTGGTGGCAGTAGTGATGGTACTTCCTTTCATCCAGGAGCCCCGGTCAGTAACCTGGGAGTCATCAGAGACTGTGCCCTCTGCTCCATTATTCCCCCACCTAGATGGTTTCCCTGGGTTCCCTGTGTTCTGCCTTCCTGTCATGTCTCCGATCTTTTTTTTTGCCTGCCACCATCATTGCCCTGCCTTAGCTTGTGTGCACATCATCTGTCTTGCACCGTAGCACTTGCCTACCAAAGGATCTCTTTTCTAGACTCTCTCCTCTCCAGTTTATTCTCTTCACTGCCACCAGAATGAGCTTTCTTAAAAGTCTAGTCATTTATTCAACCAGTAAGTATTTAGCACAGAAACACGTATTGAGTACCAGATGCTATCCTGGGCACTGCGGGTATAGCAGTGAATAGAAGAGATGAAAATCTTGCCTATGGGGACCTTGCATAAGTCCTCAGTAGCTTCCCACCACTTCCAGGATAAAATTCAGACTCCTTTACCATCTACTCAGAGCTCATCTGTTACCTCTGGGCTCTATAATCCTGCTATACCCAGACTTACCACTTCTAGAATTTATTCTCATCCTTCATAAGCTACTTTATTTATGCTATGAGTTCTATTTGGAATGCTGTTCCTTCCTACTACCTCCTTCTCTTGACTGGCTTTTATTTTATTTTTTTTTATTTTTATTTTTATTTTTTTTTATGATAGTGAGAGAGAGAGAGAGAGAGAGAGAGAGGCAGAGACACAGGCAGAGAGAGAAGCAGGCTCCATGCACCGGGAGCCCGATGTGGGATTCGATCCCGGGTCTACAGGATCGCGCCCTGGGCCAAAGGCAGGCGCCAAACCGCTGCGCCACCCAGGGATCCCTTGACTGGCTTTTAGACTTTCAATTCATTCATGTTCTACCTCCAGAAGGCAGAGTTAGGTCCTCTCAACTATGTCTCCACCCCCATCCCAACCCCAGACTGTGTGTCTTTGGGGCAGAAGTAGTCGTTGAATGAATAGTCAGGAGCCAAGGCTCCAAAGTCCGTAAAAGTTCTCCCCATTGCCCCAGGTTGAGGAAGAGCTCTTTCTGCCTGACCGGGAGTTGCATGCACAGGTTCATGAGGCACCCCCTTCCATCTCTCCCAGGGATCTGCATTCTTCCTGCTTCTCTCCAATAGGTCCGGCTGATTCCACCAGGTCGCTGTGGCTTCTATGATGGGCTCCTCATCCTCCTGCTACAGCTTCTCACCCAGGTATGGGGGCATCCTAGGTTGGATGGAAAGGCAGGAGAGAGAAACTAGGTATTTTGATGAACCGCTAGACAATAGGAATGAAGAAGCAACCCACACTTACCTCGTCAGTCATACTTGGTGCCTGTGATAGCCTTCAAATGGGACCTCCCCAACCCTCAGCACAGATTTCCTTTCTAAGAAATCACAGCTGTATCCCTCAGGATTCAGTGGGGGAGGAGAGCTATAATTCCCTGGCTTTCAGCAGACACACACATGGGTTAAGATGTGATAAGAAAGGAAACTAACAGGGAAGTCCCAGGTTGTTGAGAAAACAGAGGAATTATTTCTGGGACTGCCTTTCCTTATAGGTCAGGGATGAAAGTGGAAAAAAAAAAAAAAGCACTTTGAGGCCTGACTTTGACCTCCCTATCCATCCTCCTTTAATTTCATTTCCAGCCAGGAAAGGGTAGCCTGTTAAGGGACGTGGCTGACTCAGAAATATGGACCGTTCTGTGGCACCGGTTCTCAATGGCTCTGAGGCTCCCTGAGGAGGTGTCTCCACAGGAAGAGGAGCCATCACTATCCAGGCCACAAAGCCCAGAGCCAGACTGGACACTGATCTCACCCCAAGGTATCTTTCCATCCACATGGCCTCCATTGTGAGACCAAAGTCTTGATCTCTCCAAGAAGAAGCAGACTAGGGACGCCCGGGTGGCTCAGCGGTTGAGCATCCACCTTTGGCCCAGGGCGTGATCCTGGAGTCCCAGGATCGAGTCCCATGTCAGGCTCCCTGCGTGGAGCCTGCGTCTCCCTCTGCCTGTGTCTCTGCCTCTCTCTCTCTCTCTCTCTGTCTCTCATGAATAAATAAAATCTTTAAAAAAAAAAAGAAGAGGCAGACTAGCACTGGGTTAGCCCACAGAGATTGCTGCGGCTGCTGCTGCCAGGGCAGAGGACGGAGTGGGATATGCTGGGTAGGAAAGGGACTAAATAGGTGGGAGCCCTGGGAGCCCTGGAGAAGCAGGAGCACCTGGGCCTCTTGCCTGCTCCACGGGGTCTCCATTCTTGGTGTTTTCAGGCATGGCAGCCCTGCTGAATCTGGCCGTGGCCACCTTCACCCAGGAGCCCCAGTTATGCCTGAGCCACCTGTTGCAGCGTGGAAGTATCCTCATGTCCACTCTGAAGCACCTGCTTTCCCCCAGCTTCCTGCGTCAGCTGGGCCGGGCGTAAGTTTGAGCAAGAGGAGGGAGACCCAATGGTCCAGAGAGTCTGCAGTGCAGGGTGGGGGATAAGGAGGGCTAGGCAGGAGAGCCGTAGCTGACAGGTTGAGCTGTGAGGCAAACCATGGCACTGAGGAGGGTGGGGAGTGGGAGCAGACTTGGATTTGAGGAGGGGCAGAGAATGGTAAAAGGGTAGGTAAGCTGCACCTGGTAAATCCTCCCACACTGCCCTCGTTAGGCCTCAGGGAGCTGAGTTTCTGCCCGTCGTGGTGCTCTCTGTCTGCCAGCTCCTCTGCTTCCCCTTCGCCCTGGATGTGGATGCCGACCTCTTCAGAGGTGTCTTGGCTGACTTTGTGGACTCAGAAGTCGCGGCCCACCTGCTGCAGGTACTTGGGAAACTCCTTAGGCACGAAGGTGGAGATGGCCAACCCTGTGTACTCTGATTGACTTGCTGACAGCTCCAGGGCTTTCCTGGGCCCCTAGAACAGCAGAGTATCTGGCTTCATCTAAGAGCTGGGAGTGGAGAAAGCATTCAGATCTGAGCAGAGAGCATTGGTTGGAGCTGGGTCTGGCACTGCTGCTCTCCACCAGTCCCTCATCTGGATCAGTTGGAGCTCCTGGGGAGGACATCCCAGTCAAGGCACTGGAGACCCAGCTCCTCAGCCAGGAATCACTTCTCTGGCAATTCTTGGCATAAAGCAGTGGGCCTTTGAAGGCCAAGACTGAGTACTTGCAGAGCAAGGAATGATCTTGCACTTGTTCTCCTGGGCTCCACAGTGTCTCACATGGAGGGCTTGGGTCAGGTCTTCCAGTTCTCTGTTGTCTTTCCCAGCATAACTTGGCTTTTCTCTCTGCCAGATCTTGGGTTCCTTCTAGCTACCTCGCTGCAGTGAGTGCTCCAACTCCCTGAACCACTTTTGCCTGCTACCCTGCCCCTCTCTTTCCAGGTCTGCTGCCACCATCTTCCGTTGCCTCAAGTCGAGTTGCCTGTCAGCCTCCTCACACGCCTGGCCCTCACGGATCTCACGTCTCTCAACCAGTTTGTGAACACAGTGGCTGCCTCCCCTAGAACTGTCATCTCCTTCCTCTCAGTTGCCCTCCTGGGTGACCAGCCACTGCTAACCTCCGACCTTCTCTCCTTGCTGGCCCACACAGCCCGAGTGTTGTCTCCTAGCCACTTGTCCTTTATCCAAGAACTCCTGGCTGGCTCCGATGAGTCCTATCGGCCCCTGCGCAGTCTCCTGGGCCACCCAGAGCATTCTGTGCGGGCCCGCACTTATGGGCTCCTGGGACACTTACTGCAACACAGCATGGCCCTGCGTGGGGCGCTGCAGAGCCAGGCTGGGCTGCTCAACCTTCTGCTATTGGGACTTGGAGACAAGGACCCTGCGGTGCGGCGCAGTGCCAGTTTCGCTGTGGGCAATGCAGCCTACCAAGCTGGTCCCCTGGGACCTGCCTTGGCCGCCGCGGTACCCGGTATGACCCAGCTGCTGGAAGATCCTCAGGCTGGCATCCGGCGCAATGCCGTGTCTGCTCTGGGGAACCTGGGGCCTGAGGGGTTGGGGGCGGAGCTGTTACAGTACCAAGTACCCCAGCGGCTCCTAGAAATGGCATGTGGAGACCCCCAGCTGAATGTGAAGGAAGCTGCCCTCATTGCCCTCCGGAGCCTCCGGCAGGAGCCCTGCATCCATCAGGTACACCCATGGGGATTCGTGGACCATGACGATGGGGCTGTATTTCACAATGTTTTTCTGAGATAGTCTTTAAGGAATTGGGACACCCAGAAACCCCCCATTGGGAAGCGGGAGATGTCTGGGCAGTGTGCTGGAGATGAGTTTGCCATCTCCCACCTTCCACCCTGGAGAAGGGAAGAAGTGTGGGAGGAGCTCCAATGAGTGGGAAATTCCTGGGATCCCAAGAACCAGGGTTTCTATCTCCTCGAGGCTGTGTGGACAGAGTTGAGGGCACAGCAGGCTACGTTGAGGCATAGAGAGATTTCATTCTGGGGGCCATTAAGTGGCTATCTTTTTTTTAGCACTTACCATGTGACAAGCAGCATGCTAAGCATTTTACCTTTATTATCTGCTTTAAGCTATTATATTCCTTATTTTGCAGGTGAGGGCACCAAGGCACTAAGAATTTAAGAACTTATTCAAGTTACAAAGCTAGTTTGGGAGACTGGACTTCTGAACTCAAGAGTCTGAGTCCTGAGCCCATACCTTAACCACTGCTTTATTTTGCTTTTTCTGCTGAGTACATCAAGTAGCTGAATGGAAATCACACGTCCACGTCCAAATTGTAATAGTGCAATGTGGTAGCATTGGATGGCTCATGCAGGACAGACAGTTTGACAGGATGGTGACGATATCAATTATAGGATTTTTCTGGCAGTCCTTGTGGGGAAATAATGAAAGGGATTCCCAGAGGTAATGAGGTTAAGGCCCACTGGTCAGGCTCTATGACTGGGAATCGTACTTTGTGATGAGCTGTCACTGCTGCATGGATTACCCTTTCTGGGGACAAGTGCACGGATCCCTCAGTGCCTCGGTTTCATGGTATATCACCAAAGTGAACAGGAGTAGACCTCTGGTCCTGCTGAGCCCTGTCTCCACGGTTTCTCTTAGCCCCACCCGATCTGGATGGAGTCCCTGGTTTCCTTTTCTTTGTTTTTGTTTTTTTTTCCTTTTCTTTGTTTTCTAGGGTGGGAATTGTTGGGCCACATGAGAGTCCTCTGTGTGCCGTATTCCGTCATCTGCTCTCTGTCCCACAGGTGCTGGTGTCCCTGGGGGCCAGCGAGCGATTGGCCATGCTTTCTCTGGGCAATCAGTTACTGGTGCACAGCAGCCCCCGGCCTGCCTCTGCCAGACACTGCAGGAAACTCATTCACCTCCTGAGGCCAACCCACAGCACGTGACCTCAGAGTACTGTGGTCCAGCCTCCAGCCTGTTTGCCCCCTTATTGCCAACTTCTCCTTTTTCTACTGTACAAGCCACCAACTCAACCAAGAGCTAAAGAGACTTAAAAAAAAAAAAAGAGAGAGAGAGAGAGAGAGAGATAAGCTGCAAGTCAACTGATTTGCGAACGAGAAACTAGAAGAGATTTATGTATAAAGCTCCTCCCTCCCTCCCTCCATCCCTCCTCCCCAGATTCAGAATGATTTCAACCAGTAAACTTCATTGCTGTTGGTGCCAGAGAAGAGTCCTTCCTTTTCTATATTGAGGGCTCTTTCTGCAATTGTGTGCCTTTAATCCCAGGAACACACCTCCTGGACCTCGGGGAGGCACTTTCTTTTTTTTTTTTTTTTTTTTTTTTAAATTTTTATTTATTTTATGATAGTCACACAGAGAGAGAGAGAGAAAGAGGCAGAGACATAGGCAGAGGGAGAAGCAGACTCCATGCACCGGGAGCCCGACATGGGACTCGATCCGGGGTCTCCAGAATCGCGCCCTGGGCCAAAGGCAGGCGCCAAACCGCTGCGCCACCCAGGGATCCCGGGGAGGCACTTTCTATCCAAGAGCTCTCCCTTTCTGGAGCTTCTATAATCCTAGCAGGTTCTTGCTGTAGTGCACTGGCCCCAGGTCGGTGATAAACAGGACCTGTCTCACCTTAGGGTGATAAATGCCAGTAGTCCCTGCTGTGGAGGTTCCCTGGCCCCATTGCCCACATTCCCATCCATGGGTTAGTATGGAAAGAGACTTGTCTTTCTTTTTCTTTTTTTCCCTCCCTTCCTTCCCTTACTCCTTTCTTCCCTCCCTCCTTCCTTTCCTCCCTCCTTCCTTTCTTTCCTCCCTCTCTCCTTCCTGCCTTCCTGCCTTTCTTCTGCTCATCCTTCCTCTGTGAATTCTTATAATAAAAGGTATACTTCATCTTACTTGGAGCTGCCAGGGTAAGAGGTTGGGGGGGCTCAGCTCCTCTCAGCTCTTGTGTGGTGCTGGAAGCACTTGTGTCCTGTTCAAACAAGATCCTGGTTTGGGAGTTTATTAATTGTATCTCTTCCTGCCTTCCAGCTTCCTCCACCCATGATGAGCTACATGTAGTTACCTACTTCCAAGCCAAGGCCAGCGGAGCTGAAATAGGGAGGAATAGGATTAAACAGAGAGGTACATTGGATTGCTTTGTGATCTCAGCCTTAGTGATGAGTTTTACTGTTTGATGGAGTTTCAATGTATAAGGAAGCCCAGCTGCTTGAGAAGGGCAGCTGTTTATGGATGTTGTGCATTTTACCAGAAAGATGTTTGGATCAGAGTCATGATCCAGCGGAAACATACCAGGAAGCTTAAACCTTAACTCACTGGATGACTTGCGAGGGCTCTGATTTCTCCATCCACAAAATGGGGAGACTACTTTTTATGCTATCTAAATTCCAACTGTTTTCGAAATGAAAGATAAATAAGATGCCTTTTTTTTTTTTAAGATTCTATATATTTATTTGGGAGACAGTGTGCAAGCCAGAGGAAGAGCAGAAGGAAAGGGACAAGCAGACTGTATACTGAGTGCAGACCCTGACATGGGGCTCAATCTCATGACACTGACATCACAACCTGAGCCGAAATCAAGAGCTAGATACTCAACCAACTGAGCTACCCAGATACCCCAGGTGCCCTTATTTTTATAAGGAGTTTTATTTAGCCCTCACCTTTACTGTGCACTGTCTGTGTTTATATTTTAGCAAAAATAACATTTTTCCTAGAAACCACTATAATTTCCTCCTATCCAGATTATTTCAGTTCAGTTCACAGTTCAGTCCTTTCTCTGTGCCAGGTATTGTTCTAGGCATTGGAGATAAAGCAATGCGTGTTCATCACAGAGTTTCCATTCTGATCGGGAAGACAACTTACTAAAATGAGTGAATTCTGTATAGCATGTAGAGATGTGATAAAGCTCTGGGAAAAATTAAGCAGAGAAAGAGTATGAGGAGTGTTGAGTTGGACGGTCAGGGGAGGCCTCACGGAGATGTCCTTTGAGCCAAGACTTGAAGGAAGTGAGGAAATGAACAATGCAGCTATCTGAGGGAAAATCCAAGACAGAATAATCATTGCAGAGGCCCTGAGGCGGAAGTATCCCTGGGGGGGCTTGAGGAGCTGTGAGGAGGCCAGTTTGGATGGAAGATGCGAAGAAGGGGGAGAATAGTAGGAGCTGAGGACAGGAAGACAGTGGGGACCAGGATGTTGTAAGCCTGGAGTCCTTGAACTTTGAGTAAAGGAGACATCTATTGGAGAGTTTTGACAGAGAAGTGATGTGATCTACCTTATGTTCTGAAAGATTACTCTTCATTCTGGTGTTGTGCATGAACTGTAAAGAGTTGGGGGTTGGGGCGGGCTGTTGGGTGGCACGGTGAGTGCTTAGGAGGCTGTGGTGGCACCAATGGAATGGTAAAGAGTAGTCAGATTTTGAACATGGAGCAAATAAGATTTTTTGACTGATTGGATGTGAAGGTGTGAACAAAGAAAAGAAGACAAGGATGACTTCAAAGTTCTTGGCCCAAGCAATTGGGAGAATGGAATTGCCCTTAACTAAAATGGGGAAGGCTATTAGTGAAGTGGTACTGGGTGGGAAAATTCAAGTTCAGTTTTGAACATGTTAAGTCTATTAGTTGGAAATTTTTAAACACACAAAAGGAGAGACATGAGTTCAGTGAACTCCATTAGGGTTCCAATAGCTACCATATCTATTCTTTCTCTATTCAATCGTTTTATTTATTTTTTAGATTTTTTCTTCAAATATTTTTAAACAAATCTTGGGAAATATAGACTGTTACCCATAGTACTTTGGTGTATATCTTTAACAGATTAGAACTTCTGTTTTTGTTTTTAACAAAACCACAGTACTTCTTCAAGACTTGTCTGGATTCAGGCAAATACAGTATTGTATTTTAAAATCTAGATTTTTCTCCCCTAAAAGATGATCTAGGAAGAATTACCTTAAGAAAAAATTATTTTTTTCCACAAATAATTCACTAAATACTAGCTAGAAATACCATGCTTGTCTGGTACATAAAAAAATTGATATAGAGAAATTAAATATGCAAACTTTTTAGGTTATCACATAAAGCAATATTTAATTAGTTTATGAGAAAGCATAATAAGAAAACATGTTTCCATCCTTGGGAGCATATAATCTAAGGGCTTAGAAATATGTAAACAATTTCACCTCATTTTACATCACTGCACAAAGTGCTGAGAGGATTTGACATGAATGGTCTGAGTAGTGCCTGGAATTCACAGAATGTCTGGAAGGTTTGAGGATTTGTGCCTGTGTTTGGTTTTGCGTGTGTATGAGTGTATATGTGTTTTAACTCCTTTGGTGTGATAAAGACCGTTTTCAAACATTAAAAGTAGAGAGAATGGCATAATAAACTCCCAAGCCCTGATCCCACAGTTCGGCTGTTATAAACATTTTGTGACACTGGTCTTAACTATTCATTTTTAAATTTTGTCATTGCTATGTTGTAAAAGGCATTCTGTTTTGAAATAGTTTAAAATTTAAAGAAAAGGTAAAAGAATAATTACAAAGAACTTGCATATACCCTTCACCCAGATTCACTGATCGTTAGCATTTTGCCATAACTGGTTTTACCATATTTTCCTGAACCATTTGTTAGTAAGTTGTAAATATCATGTCCTTTTACTTCTTCAGATTTATGTAGGAATTCCTTGAGATAAGGATATTCACTTATATAATCACCACATGATTAACAAAATTAACATTGATATAATACTGTTAACTAACCTGCAGCCCATATTCAAATATTGTCAATTGTTCCAATAATGTTTTGTTCTGTGTTTTGTAAAATGGCTAATTTTGTTTTGTTTTCAAGTATTTATTTAAATTCCAGTTAACCTATAGTTAATTTGTTTCAGGAGTAGAATTTAGTGATTCATCACTTACGTGTAACACCCAGTGCTCATCATATCCAATGCCCTCCTTAATACCCATCACCCATTTAGCCTACCCCCTGCCCACCTTTGTCCAGTAATGTTCTTTATACCAATTTTTTTCTTGGTCCAAGATCCAACCCAAGATCATGTTTTGTGTTAGCTGTGTTGTCTCCAATCTAGAACCATCTCTCATCTTTGCCTTTTTTTTTCAATTGCTTACTTTTTTTTTTTAAGATTTTATTTATTCATGAGAGAGAGAGAGGCAGAGACACAGGCACAGGGAGAAGCAGGCTCCATGCAGGGAGCCTGACGGGGGACTCGATCCTGGGTCTCCAGGATCACGCCCTGGGCGTAAGGCGGCGCTAAACCGCTGCGCCACGGGGGCTGCCCACTTTATTTAATTTTGTTGTTCAAATTGTTCCAACTTTGGTCATTGGTAGTTCTTTCAGTTAGCTCCTGTGATACACTCCCACCAGAGTGGTTTTTCTTGCTGGCACTACAAAATGCTTCAGGCTCATCTTGTATATTTCTTACCCTAGTCTTGGCATCAGCCATTTCTTCAAGGAACCCCTGTTCTTTTGGTATCTCTTTTGGAGAATGGTATTACAAAGTAGGACCTGGGTACTGAGTGTGCTCATTGCCTCTAGGGTGTTTGCTATTAGTATTTTAAAACAAAAGCAAACCCCTGGCATTGTGTCATTTAATTGCTAAAAATATCTATCTGTATTTTCTTAAATAACCAAAATGTCAAAGTACCCTGTAGCTGCCACAATGGATTACCTCAAATTTAGTGGCTTAAAATAGGAGAGATTTATTCATTCACAGTTCTGGAGGCCAGAAGTCTGAAATCAGGCTTGTCTTAAGGACCTCCATTCCCTCAGAAGTCTATGGAAGAATCCATTTCTCGGCTCTTCCACCTTCTGGTGGCTCCAGGCATTCGTTGGCTTGTATGCACATCAGTCCAACCTCTGCCCCCTTGGTCACTTTGCCTCCTCCTCTTTTCTATGTCTTCTCCGTGTCTGTGACATCTCCCTTTGCCTCAGGAAGGACGCTTGTTATGGGATTTAGGGCCCACTCAGGAAATCCAGGAAAATTCCTTAATCCTCTTAAAATCCTTTTCCATATAATATTTACAGGTTCCTGGAATTAGGATGTGGATATATCTGTGGCAGGGGGGCCACCATTCCGTCAACTGCAGTAACGAAATTAACAATGGCTTCTTAACACCTGTCTTTGTTCATAATATTCCCAGTCCACATTCAGATTTCTCCATTGTCTCAAAAATATCGTTTACAATTGGTTTATTTGAATCAGGATCCAGGCAAGGTCCATTCACTGCATTTGATCATCTCTTAAGTCTCCTACAATCTAGAACACCTCACTTTTTAAAAAAAACTCTGAAACTGTTGAAGAAATGAGGCCATTTATCTCTACATTGGCCCACATTCTGGGTTCGTTGGATTGCTTTCTTGCAGTGTCATTATTTCTCTTTACTTCCTATGAAGTGGAAGTTGGAGTCAAAGGTTATATTAGGTTCAGATTCAACTATTTTTTGACAAAAATACCCTATTTCCTAAATAGGTTCAAATTGCATCACATTAGGAGACATGATTTATGGCTGTCTCACATTTCATAATCTAAGATTGGTTAAAATATGTAGGTGATCTTTCCAGTGTAAATTCCTCCAGTCAGTCCTCTCATGGTTTTAGCATCTGTCAATACTGTTGCTGAAATCAATTATTAAGCTTCCTTGCTCTGGTCCAGATTGTTTTTATTAGGATAAATAATGTCCTTTTATTATGTCCTTTATTTCTGTAGCCTACTGTTTAGAAAAGACCTTTTCACCCACTAGCTCTTTGGATTTTCATTCAGATCCATTAGGTCTAGGGATATCTCGGACTAAGGACATCTGGGGTACCGTCTGCCTTGCCTAGGGAGATAATGAGTTGAGTCAGTTTTTTCGAAAGTTCATACCTGAAGCCCATAAAGCAGGTGGTTGTAATAGTACTCTACTGAGTGGATTGGAGTTAGGGGAAAATGGGTTGGAGGGAAAGGGGATCTAGCAATGTCTCCTTTCCTGGGGTTCAAAGTCAAGAGACTTTTGCTTAAAAGAACTATTAAGAAACTTCTTTAGTAAAGTTTGAACTCTGATTTTAGAGGAGCGAATTAAAGCACGCCCAAAGAAAAAGTCCATACAGGTGAGGTGGAATCAGCCAGAGAATCCTGGAATCCCAGAACATACTCTTTAGGGGGTGGGGGTTGGGGGCCTGTGTTAATCTCAGGACTACATCTCCCAGAATTCCGCCCTCCGGGTCTCACGCGCCCTGAAGCGACTGCGCGTGCGCGAGGCAGGTGACGGCCTGCCCTCCCGGGCCCCACAACCCCCGAGATTCCGCGCGCCGGCCTCTCTCCCGCCCGCCCGCCGCCGCCGCCGCGATCGCCCCTTCCAGGCCTTCAGTCCGTCCGCTGGGGGCGCGCGCAGTGCGTGGCAGGCGGCGCCGGCGGCTGGGAGCGCGGGGCGCGTGGCGGTGCGTGGTTGCTAGGGGCGTCTGAGGCCGCCCGCTCGCCCAGCAGGCGGAGGGAGGAAGCCGCGCGGAGCCGGCGGCGAGCGGAGCCCAGGCGAAGCGGAGTCGACTAGGTGAGTGTGGCTGTGAAGCCGGGGGAGCGAGCCTCCGCCCGCCGCCCCCGCCCTCCGCGCGGGTCCTTCCGCGCGGGTCCCCAGCCCTGCGGCGCCTCCCGCTCCGGCCCCGCGCCCTGCCCGCCGCCTCTCCGTGTCCGGGGCGGCGAGGGGGCTTGCGGCCTCCCACCCGGCCGGCTCTTCGCGCGGCCTCGGGACCCTCCCCCGTCTCCGCCACGCCCCGGGAGCCTAGGCAGCCCCGCAGCATCCCCTCAGCCCGGGCCTCCGTCCTTCTGGTTCCCGCCGCGCTGCGGTTTAAATCCTCCCCGCCCGCGGGGGAGCCCAGGCTCCTCTCCTTTCGTGGCTGAGTTGAACATGGATGCCCACCTTTTCCTTTCCCCATCCTGTAGCTATAGAGAAATGCTTTCCTAAACTGGAGAGTTTCAAACAGAATTTGAGATCTTGTAAATTTCTCTCCTTTATCCATCCCTTTATGTAATCATTCATTCAACTTTTTTTTTTTTTTTTTTTTTTTTTTACGAACATCGACAAATATTTAATGAGCCGGCGCACTGTGGAAGCCGCTGGGAAGACAGCAGTGGTGAACAAGGCAGGCTTGTCTTCGCGGAGCTTATAGTCCGGGGGAGGTTTTAACCAAGTACAAGCGTTTGCCATACTGCGAGGTGTGTGCCCTCCTGGAAAGTTAACCCGACTCGCTTGGAAAACTATGTATCTGATCCCCATTCTTTGGTCTTCGCACCCTCATTCTGGATCTAGGAAATGTTTTAGTCCTTCCTTTATAGAGTCCTCCTTGCTTCCTTAGATACTCCAATCGCATCTTCCTCTACTTCTTCACCTGTTGATTTAGCCAATCAGTAAGTAGTTAGGGAACCCTTCGGGACAGCTTTCTGTCCATCTTCATTTCTTGCAGCAAGTATTGAAACACTGTATGAGATCCACGCCCTCCCCCTTGATGCTGAGAAAGTTATTACCAGCTGCTTGTTGGTTGGACTGAATGCACATTGAAAAATTATCAAGTGTTTTCTGGGAATAAAGAAGTGGAGAGCACATTCTAGATACAAAGTAACTTTAGAAAAAACACAGCAAGGCCTAAAAAGAGAACTGGAAACAGTTTGACAAATGCAACCTGGGTTTGGAGGTAGCCATCCAATGACAAATAGAGGAAAATTAATACGGGTTAGATCACAGAGGACCATAGTTTTTTGTTGTTGTTTTTGTTTTTTAGATGTTTTGTTAAAGAGAACAGCTTCCTCAGGTATTTCAAGCAGGGTAATTGGGGCCCAGGACTTCCAAGGAAGACACCTGCACATATAACTGTAGAAGAATCAATTTCCAGATCCTCAGCTTCCAAATGAACACTTCTAAAACTGACCTTATGAGAAAAGGTGGGGCTGACAGGATGTTATATCCCTCACATCTCCCAAATTACAGTGTTTTATCCCAAGTGTAAAAACATCAGGTTGCCAAGTGGAGTATTGGGAAATACTGATTTCAGGAAAGCCTCCTTTGGTGATTACTTTGAAAACCCAGAAGGCTTCCTGTCTTCCCCTAATACACATTGCTCTTAGGGGGAGGCTTGTTTCTTGTGATATTCTGAATTCAGATGAACTCAACAGTTAAATGTGGCTAGAATTTTTTTTTTTTTTTTTTTTTTTTGTGGCTAGAATGTTTTTTTGGGGACCATGGGTTTTTCAGGCTGTGGGATAAAACTTGCGTAAAAACTTTTAAAGAGATTTATTTTAATTTAGATGTGTGTTTTTCAATAAGAAATTTTTTATCAAATTATTTTATCAAATCATGAAATGCTTATTCAAATACAGTTAATCCTTAGTTCTTCCTATAAAATGTTTATAGGTTCTACCTACTTTTACCAAAAGAATAAACTTGTTTAAACTTCTGATGAAGAATCTCAGAATTAAACTTTAATGTGCAAGGAATATATGATTTAAATTCTGTTGGGGATACATGAGTAAAACCATTAAAAGAGTATGTAGCAGAAAAACTGGAAAGATAACTAGCAGGAAGATAACATTAGATTTGTGTTTGAGATTACTGTAGCATCAGTGTGTGGGTTGGAGGAGGATTTTATTTTTTTATTATTATTTTTTAAAGATTGTATTTATTCATGAGAGACAGAGACAGGCAGAGACACAGGCAGAGGAAGAATCAGGCTCCCTAAGAGGAGCCTGATGCAGAGCTCGAATCCAAGACCCTGGGATCATGACCTAAGCCAACGGCAGACACTCAACCACTGAACCACCCAGGTGCCCCTAGGAGAGGATTTTAGACTGGAGGCAGGGAGCCAGTGAGAAAACTAGAGACCAGGTTAGAGATGTTGAGGGCTCTGTGTTGGTTGCAGTGGGAATGGAGAGGGTTTAGAGATTTTTTTTTTTGGGGGGGGGGGTTAGAGATTTTTAAAGTTGATAGATTAGACAAAGCCTGGTGGCAAAATATACAGAGAGTGGGACAAGGATCAGTTTGGAATGATCCTAGGTTCCGACTTTAGTGACCAGGTGGGTGGTAATGCTAGAGAAACTATTAGGAGCAAGGGCAGCTTTAAGGAGGAGGATAAAGGGGTTCACACTGGACATGCTCCAAGTTGTGCTCCCCACATCCAGGTTAGAGAGGCCCAAGAGGTCATTCTGTAGGTCTGGGTGATGATAAAAAGTTGCGAATGGAGGAGGTGGTTGAGGTCATGGGATGGAAGAGCTTGCTCTAGGAGAGTTTATTGAGCACTTACTCATGTGCCAAGCAAAATGAGAAGACTGAACTCCTAGGAACACCAACATTGAGAGAGTAAGAAGAGGAAAAGGAATAAAAGAAGGAGACAGAATTTATAACCAAATACAAAAATGAGTATAAATGAAAAGGCACTTGCTAAAGAGCTGCATCTCAATGAAGTTTAAACTTCAGGATCTTACACTCATGATCTGGAGTTGAGTTTAGCTTCTCCACTAGATTGCTTTGTGACCTTGAGTTGTCTTGTAGGCTCCCTGCATTTTAGCACAAGATCAGGTACTTTGATCTGTCCATGAAATGCAGAGAAAAATTTTCTTTCTTTCTTTTTTTTTTTTTTTTAAGATTTTATTTGTTCATGAGTGACAACACAGAGAGAGAGGCAGAGACATAGGCAGAGGGAGAAGCAGACTCCCTGCAAGGAGCCTAATGCAGAACTTGCTCCCAGGACCACGGGATCATGCCCAGAACCTAAGGCAGAGGCTCAACCACTGAGCCACCAAGCACCCTGAGAAAAATGTTCTTAAATGTCCTGAATTTCTTACCCTTTTCCTCTGGCAGAACTGGGAAACTAGATCAGGCGTTTTGAAAAAAATATGGGGATTGCTAATCTCTTGGGCCCTGAAATACATAGAACCTTGTCCTTAGGAGCCCTCATGGATGTTCTAGACAGGCAATGGTATTTTAGACCAAAGGTACTCAGCCTTATTGCTTTTAGGACTCCTTTATGCACTTTAAAACCTCTTCAGGATCTTCAATATATTTTTTAATGTGGGATATGTAATCTTGGCATTTACCATTTTTTAAATAAAAATATTAATTCATTTAGAAATAATAAATACATTATGTTATCGTAAGCAGAATTTTTATTTTATATTTTCAGATTTTATTATTTATTTATTTATTTGAGAGCTCGCTAGCAGTGGGGAGGAGCAGAGGGAGAGGGACAAGCAGAGTACACGCTGAGTACAGAGCCTGAGCCTGACGTGGGGCTTCATCTCATGACCTGGAGATCATGACCTGAGCTGAAATCATGAGTCGACACTTGACTGACTGAGCCATCTAGGCACCCCCAGAAGCAGAATTTTTAAAATGAAAAATGATACTGTTTCAAAGAAATCAGTGAGAAGAGGCATTGTTTTTGCAAATCTCTTTAATGTCTGGCTTAATAGAAGACAGCTGGATTTTCATATCTCTTTCTGTGTTCAGTCAAATGTAATGTGTTGTTTTGATTGAATTATTAAGTAAATCCAGCCTCACAGACATTTAGTTGGAAAGAGAGGAGTATTTTTAATAGCCTTCCAGATAATCATGGGTATTCTTTGGTATTACACAAAAGTAAAGGGATTGTTTTATGAAGGTTATCGCAATGTGGAATCTGAAATGAACTATTCACATTTTGTTATGCTAAAATCCATTGGTCTGTCTCTCATTTTGACTGTTTTTCTTTTCTTTTTCTTTTTCTTTTTTTTTTTTCTTTTTGTTTTTGCTTGTTTGTTTTCCACTCAGCCTTTTACCCAGACCTGATTCGGTAACATTGTGATAGGTATCTGGAAAACACTGGTTTCACTGAGTTATGCAGCTCTTCCAAATGTTGCCACATTTTATTAACAATATGAAAAAAATCATTCACATTCTCACCACACTTTCACCAGAAAAATGGTTAAATTTGGGGAAGCTGTCAAGCTCATGGTGGCATTCAGTTTTGCCCAAATTCTGATTTTCTCTTGGAAGCTGAAGTTTTATTTTTGGCAACAAGTACTGTCAGTTGTTTTTCTTGAATTGACAGACTCACTTTATTTTCTAGAAAATGCTTGCCAAATGCCAAAGTCTGAATAACCCATCACTTTTGTGTCATTTATTCTTTCAAGTGAACATGGTGTTCCACAGAAAAATTTTGCAATACAAACACACTGCTTTCCTTAGAGATAGCCACCACCTTCTGGATGTCACAGAAGTGTTTGACACGTGCTGCTTGTTTTGTCACATTATTAAAAAGATGCACTCCGGAATTGAGATTTAGTATGATTTTTTACTGTGTCACCAAGGACATTCTTGAGTGAAGCTGCTATTCTTTTGCTGTGTGGTGAGGAAGCATGTGGGGGTAAAGGATCCAACTCGGTCCACCAGCACCAACAGTCTGGCCCACCATTACTTTTGTACCATCAGTGGGAAGGCCAGCACAATTAAAAAGGCAAATCATATCTGAATTTTGATAGGAAAATAGTTTTTTTTGTTGTTTTTAAAGATTTTATTCATTCATG